AGGATAAATAAAAGTAAGTACCAAAAGACAGATGCACCGAACATGAAGTTATCCAAGACGCTGCATTCGACTTAATGACGGGCTCTGCCATCAGAACATACTTAAGAAAATAGTCTCTCGTTTGATTTGATATACTTGGAATGCCTGGTTCAAGAGCATTTTTTATACTTTAAGGAGGCACAGATTCTAACAGAGGTGTTCATTATTAAATAATCAGAACTTTTAAGCTTTCGTCTCTGTTTCCATTACAAATCATAGAATCATTCAGGCCAGAAGGCACCCTGGGAGGTTTGTAGTCCAACCTCCTACTCAAAGCAGAGTCACAATGAATTCAGACTATGTTGCTTAAACTTTATCCAGTTGGTCTCAAAAAGCTCCACAAACAGAGATTCTAGAGCAACCTTGGGGAACCTGCTCCTATGTTTATCCTCCTTAAAGTGAACATTCTTCCTTGCACTAAGTCAGAATCTCACCTATATCAATTTGTGACCATGATCTCTCTCTCCCATCACACAAGTCAGCGAAAAGCCCAGCTCCCATATTCTCTATAGCTTCCTGACATATACTGCGGGGCAGCTATTAGCTCCCCCCTAAAGGCTTCTCCAGACTGAACAAGACCTGCTCCCCTGCCCCTTCCTCACAGTATACAGCAGTCCCAACCATCTGGGTCGCTCTCCATTAGACTTGCTCCAGTCTTTCTTGGATCTTAACAAGGTGTGTTAAATACATCCTCTTTAATACACAGGTTCTCCAAACACATAATTTCGCTTTTCTTGGAGGCTTACCTTGTCAAAGGAGTGAATACTTATGATGCTTCTGTGGGAACCTAAACATGAGGATCTTGATAGAGGTGGACTACCTCATATTGCACTGAATTAGCAGCAGCAGGTCTAGATATCGGGGGTCTCCATGGTTGCAGGAATCCAGATAAACATTTTTGCCTGCTGTTCCTCTGTCAAGAAAATAAAGACAAATTCCATCTCCACTTGAGCAGATTTCCCGAGGTACTTGTGTGTACGGGGACTAACAGGCTAACCTAAAATGAATAAAACAGCAGGTTTCATTCATTCACGAGGTACTCAGAAATTACATTAAACTCACCATAAACACTTCTCAATTCATCCTTTCATTAATGAATAGCTCTTTCATATGAAGAAGGTAACCAAAATGTCACAACTGTATGTTTCTAGTATTAAACACAATTAAATGTTAATGTAGCTGATACAATCATGGCACTGTTACACTAAGGTGGAATATTTCAGTTAACATCCAGTTTTTAAAAGCAAGTTTTGAAAGCAAGATCATGACAGTTAACTGACTTGCTGAGGGTGCATAGTGTTGCCTAATGAAATGCAATCCAAGCCCTGCATCACCTTGGTACCAAAATCTTCTCCTTTGTGTAAAATCTAGTGCTTAACTATGTATTTTGGATCATGGATATTTTACAAAAGGCGTGTCATGAAAGAGGGGCCTTTGGTGTAAGACTATTTGATTTCTAGTTTCCACTTCAACAGTGAAGCTTCAGGTGGTCATTCCAGACAACACAGTGCCAAGCACAGAGTCCTGTCAGCAGAGCTCTGCTCTAGTGAAACAAGTTCCCTAGGAAGTAGTGCACTAGCAAGTGTATGTGACATTTGTCCTCTACTAAGCAGAATCAACAACGGCCACATATTTTAGACTGCATCACCAAGAATTCTACAAAGTGTCAGACAACTTTGGTGCGTTCTGGGCTTGGTGCATATACACAGAAGAGGGCACAAAGGGAAAAATGTTCTTCTGGTGAACTGATGAAACCTCCTCTATTCTCCAGCTAGCAGTATGGTTGGTGACTGATTCTCCCAGACTTCTCTCAATGCAAGACACTGTCTCATTTTTGAGGACACTACTGCTGTAGTGGATACTACTGCAACAGTGTGGGTTTTGCATCATACAAAAGAGGAGTTTTAAAATACTTTTAAAATACACCTCAAGAAAACCCTCAACCTGCCCTTAACATTTCCAAATAGTTCCCAAATATCACTTTGATGCATTTTGCATGTGTGCAAATCAAACATTCATATTCATTTCTATGATAGAAATAATTGAATAGGCATATTGCTATATTTTTTACTCACAGCACAAGAGCCTTGTAAGGATTATTGAAGTTACAAATGAAGATTAACCACATTAGATTTATGGCTGAAAACATTACAGACTTGCACGTGTTTGCATTTTATCAGCATTCAAGCTACATTTTTGCCTTGTACATACAACCTTCTGCAGTGATCCTCTGTGAATGACTTGCTGTTCCTTTCCATATATTTCAAAGGGTTTGGAGACAGAAAATTATTTCAAGCTTTTTTTGGTACAAGGCACAAAATCTAGTGATTGAACAGTCACAATCTGGAATGATGAAGTAAGAATTACAAATCTGCGAGTAAAGCTAGGGAAGTACGTAAGTGTAATAATGCCTTGCAGAAACTGCTTAACAGCAAATACAGAACACCACTAATCTCTGTAGTACGAAGTTTTTCCAGTTATATCCCTGTCGCAAAGCTCACTTAGGAACAAAAGGGATCATTGTTAAAAATTAATCTGAATATAAATGACAACAATCTGAATATATACCTGACAACAGGCTACTAGGTCTTGCTTTGTATTTTGATGAGATTTATGCAAGTGTCCAAGTGCACAGATGAGTTACCTTTCAAACTGTTTACTGAAGCCAAACAGTAATATTACCACTAACAGATTCTAGTAACACTGAACTCTGCAGATGCATCACAGACGAACACTTCTAATCTGCTATATTTAGAAAAGTATTTTTATGTTACTCTTATTTCTCCAACCTTTTTTTCACTGCTGGCTGAAACTTATTATTCTAATATAAATGTAGTAACACTGAAAATATTACTATTAATGAAAACATGTTCACAGTGAGAAAGGACTCAGACCCATAACTTTTCTTAAACATTTTACAAACAATCTCTTAAGAAACAGGTATTGAACACCATGACTTTATACAAGTAGTACCATTTAAAGAAAGCACACTGAGTATGTTTTCAAAAATCTTATTTTTATTATTTGCACTAACTGTAGCATCATTTACAGCTTTCATCTCTAACAAACTGAAGTGAATTAGCACACACACAAACCTATTCAAGGTCAGCACTCAAAGTGGAACCTTGGTTACAGAAATGCAGTTCACCTTGGTGTGTAACAGACCTAGAAACAACTAGTTCATCCTAACACAAGTACAGTCAATCCAGTTTCATGCATTTTTCAGAGCTGTTAGAAAGTCTCATTTTAGAGGTGCAAAGAGGAAACAGCTACAAGGTTTAGAGATGACTCATTTTCAAAACCAAATTTCTTATTTCTAAATTATTAAACTACAGCAAGGACCTTTCTTCAGCTGTAAAAATTTTGCTCTGCAAAACAAAAAAGAAAAAGAATTAGTCACTTTGCTGTATTAAGTACAAGTAAGATCATTATCAGCCTAAGCATTTTAACCAACTTGCTAGTTCATGCTGTATATACTCCCATTTTTGTCAAGTTTACCAGGTTTAGCCACCAGTTCCTGGTTTTCTCTCTCTGAGAAGAAATGGAAGTGGGTATAAAACCGATCACTTCTGCAAGGTCTTTCCCTTTTTAAATCCTGGATGAAAACCTAAGACTTGCCAGACAAGAGCCTGCATGTGATCCTCTACCACCTCTACAGAAACAGACCCACAAACCAGGACAGTCAGTCTGGGCTTATTAATTTCTGCAAGTTGTTTATGAACTAATTTTTAAAAATAAAATGGTTAATGATTAGCTAGCAGTTTTGATGAGCAAGCTTTATCCTCTTAATTTCTAAATTGTTCTAGATGATGCATGTTATTTATCCCAATTCACTGGCTTAAATCCTGAAGTCAGCAAGAGAAAAAGAATGACAGAAGGCAGAAAACAAGCCCACTTCAAACAGCTAGAACTGAAATGCCATAGGATTAATAACAGATAGGACAAACATCTCGGTACATACTAAAGACCTCACAGAGGGCTGTCAGGAGTCCTGAACTAGTAGCCATCACTGGGAGTTTAGGGTGTCCAGCCCCTCAGAAGCCGCAGCACAGGCTTGGCCACATTAGATTTTAGTGAATGAGCCTAGAACCTCCCTGTCCACACCCCTGAGAGACCCCCAAAATCAAAACAAAACTACAACTGAATTACTCTTAGGTATATTCTGCTGTGCTTCAAGATGGGAGTTTTACCTGAAGCAAATCCTTAACCTCTAAAGAGGCCAATAATGTAGGAGCAGAAACCATGCAGGGATTCCCAGCAATGTTGCCGTGCCAGTTTCATCGCCTCGGTTTCATTTTCAGACCCTTGACCACGTTCGGTTGGTTTTATAAGAGGTAGTATTGGAGGTTTCCCTATTTTCTTGACAGAGCTTTTTTCTGCTCCCCTCATAGAAGTGGAAGTTTTCTGGGCTGATTTGTCCTGGTTTGCTAGATCTTCTGGCTCCATACCAGCAGCTATCTGCCTCATGAGAGCTTCTGTGGGAGCCTTTTGGCACATGGTGGTCTTCAACACTTGTGTGGATTCGCAAGCGTGCGGGAGCTTTCTGAGTTCCATGGCGATCTGATTCCAGTAAATCTTTGGATTGTTTCTGAAAGCACGACAGACTGATGGCTTTCCAGTGAATTCACACCAGTAGGACATGCCTTGACTCTTGCATTCAATTCTAAGTTTCCTCTCCTCATCCCCACTCATGCTCATTGTGCAAACATCTTTGGTTTTAGTCCGAAAATTGATTTCTTCACCATTGCTTCTTTTCTTTGGCTTCAGCTTCTGTCCCAATCCTCCCATGCCACAGATCACTACTAGGAAAAGAAGAGCAACACTCTTCATGATCGGAGGAGCTGACTGAGATCCTTGAGCAACACGATACAAGAAAGCGAAACCAGCAAGTAACAGGCTGCTCACAATTTAAAGGCTTGGTGGACAAAGAAGCCTCTTTCCAGTGAAACATGGGATGAAAGTTTGTTGTTTTTTTTTTTTTTAAAAAAATAATAAATCACACTTCAGTAGGCATGTGCCCATAATTTATAGCCTGAGGGAGTGTCGGATAACCTGTGAACTCCCAAGTAGGTAACAAGACAAATCCTGTAAATGCAGTTAAATACAGAACGATAGTTGTATAACCAAGAAGCACATTCCTATCCAGGATGAACACGTCATATTTGATTTTTAACAGGTATTTTCCAATCTCCAGCTGCCTTATAGCTCTATCTTCATGTCAGAGCTTGTAAGACCATATTGAAGTAAGAAAAGATAAAAGTGCTAAAGCAATCTATGCAGCTCCACCTGGATGATTTGAAATGTGTCCTACTAATACAGGCTGATTTGTGGAATGGGTTTTCTGTGGATTTGCACAGTAAGGATCCAACTTTAGTACTTCATTTTGTTAGCACATGACTTGCAGTGGGGACACATGGAAGAATCAACTGCTCATTCTTTAAGCCATGAAAGATTTAAAAACTTGAAATATTTAAACAAGATAAGGAATACAGCTTTAGCTAAATAAGGTATTACAGGCTTAAATAGAAACCAAACATTTGGAAGTTTTACTATAATTTTCACATCATAGATTATTTTCAGTCAGAGTAAGACAACAGACCTAGCTTATCATGGGTCTCAGCAGCAAGGAATAGACCCCAGAGCATGTCAGCAATGTGCTTTATCATTTTTCGCTTTTTTTCTTTTAATAGGTATTTTCTTACTCATAATAAATGAGCTGTAAAAATGCCAGAAAACAAAGGCAAATGAATAGACATATTTTAGTGCAGAATCCTGTACTAGGAGTTTCTGCTGCAGTAACTAAAAGCAGAGCTAAAGAAAATCACAGCAACTCCCTTCGCATTCAGGAAGTCACAAGGTAAAAATTCCTCCCGTGCTGTTGCAAGCCACAGCACTTTTCTGTCTCATAAGACCCCACTAGGCACTTCTTTCAAAGACATGTATCCGACACCCAAGCCTGACCTGAACAGCTTCTAGAAGGGGTACTGTATTATTTAGCTATGTTTGAATAGCTGTGGGGTGCTAGAAACCCTGAGTTTGAGAATGGCCATACGTAATGGAATAGAATACCACTTTGTATATCTAGCCATTCAATAGGTATCACTAAAGAAAATACCGAGGCAAAAACATTCATTCAACACAGACAGTGAAGCAGAAAAAACAAAATGCAAAAAATGCTTCTCCAATATTTGACAGAGTCCCTAGCTGCTGTGGCACCTGGAGCAGCCGTTTAGGTAGCCTGAACCTTGTTCTTCCAGTGAATGTGTCATGAAGTTCCCCATGACTAAATATCATTTGATGGAGAGAACAACATTGTTTTCTTTTCATCCCCTCTCTAAGGCTATTTGATAGTATTTTTAGTAGAAGTCTCATTTCTAGCTTCTTGCCATTTGTTCCTCCTGACTGTCTCTTTGAAATCCCAGTGGGGTGTGGCTCTCCAGTCAAGTCTTAATGGAAACAGCAATGGTACAAGCCTACTTAAGATTTTCAATTCACTCTTCTGTTGTTTTCTGGGGAGCTTCCTCACCCATCATCCATCCAGTGAGAAGAATTTTTTTGCCCACTTCACATTTCAAGGAATTAAAATCCCTACTGCAAGCACTCAAAGACCTAATATTTGACAAACAAATGTATTATTTACACTTGGTTATGCACAATAGCATTGACAGTTCCTAGATTAGAATCTGAGGCATTAATCTCTCTTGTTCTAATAATTGTTAAAGAGTTCAAAACTACTTAACTGGTATAAAGGAACTTTTTCAGATATCTTGTTCTGACAGTTTTTAAAGTGTAATCGTGAAAACAAATCAGACTACAAGAATAAGGACAAATACCAAAGCTTAGACTCAAGAGCTTTGGTATATTTATGTACTATAGTTAACATGTTACTGCCAACTGTTTCTCTCACTCCCACCTGACATTTGTGACCTCTGTCTGCCTGTGCTTTAGATGAAACAGTTCACAATCTGTCCTTATCAGTGGAAAATAATAGTCCTTTTACAGGTTTGGCCAGGATGTCAGCAGTGAACTATGGGAGCTGAAGAACTGGCAAACATTTAATTCTGCTGTCACTGCTACAGAAAACAACAGTGGCAAGCAGTTACACCTTGAGTACTTACATGGTATGTGGATATCCTCCCCAACTCATTAGCTTGAACCCTACCATCTTTGCATAAATCACATCCTTTGTGGAAGTCAGAAGCTCCCTTACCCAGAGTCCACATTCTTTCGGTCTTTCCTGCTCCAATTCTTGGTCTCTTATCTTGCTGAAGTCATCGATAAAAGTCAAATATAGCAGAAATTTTTAATCGGGGTAAAAAAAAAATAATTAATTTTCATACGATTTTAACTCAGTGCAACTCTTCCGAGACAGGTCTACACAACAAAACAATTGAGAATCAAACATCAGGTAGTTAAGCAAGTTCTTTTTTATTTAAATGAACTGGGAACATTTTGTCAAATTAAAAATAGAAACTTTTAAAAACCTGCAGTTCTGAACATTACATATACACATATGCTACATACTGTCAATTACAAATGTTTCCATTTATGACCTAAAAATGAAAAATTTAAGTTTTTTCCAGATTAAAGACTGGTATCACTTTTCAGCATTTCTTTAAAATTATACGAATGATTTATAGGATTATCCCTACTTCAAGACAATGAACCTTTCTGGAAACAAAGTTAACAATACTGATGTATGAGACACTATTTTAGATGAATATACCCAATTACTTCACCCGCTGAAATGGTTTACACTAGTAACACAGATACTTTTGGCCTTGTTGATGAATTCTTCTGTTACCTAATTCAGCAATGCAACTGTATGCCTAAATTCAAGGCAGTAACTCTAATAGTACAAATTTTAACTCCAATTGCTAAACACATTTGAATTTCAATATTGGAAATCATTATCTCAAAATTATTTAGCAAAATAGTATCACTGCCCCCTGAAAGAGTCACAGCTTAACAGTGATTCTATTAAGGACTTTATAGAAATGAGCATGAATGAGGAAAACTGAGACAGAAAACATAAAGGATTCTAAAAATCACCAACATATGACGTGTCTCATGCTCTCTGAGTACTACTGAACTCTAGAAAGCTTAGCTTTTTCACTGTATTACACATCACTCACACTCCCAACCCTCCCACCTGAAGAGTTTCAAAACATACTTCTCCAAAGTTCCTTTTAGGTCTACACTCTAAACCCCACTAAATATTAAATAATTAAAAAAATAAGAGAGAAAACAAAACTGCAACCGAACTTTTCAGAGACACAGAGAGACACTGTGGATCCCATGACAATTCCAATTTAGTCCAAAGTGGTCATTCAAGAGCACCAAATAGCAACACTGATCATGCTGGTAAATTCATTGGTGAAGACTATTATACAATATTAAAATCTTAACTAAACACTTATAAGTTTTAAGAAAAAGGTATATACAAAAGTCTCTGTATACAAAATGTATTTTTATGTAAACGTGTATGTACTGTATTTAACACAAATCAACAATTTAAGATAAGAACTTGACCAATTGTCAGAAGATTGCTAGGGAAAGGCTGTTAATCTAATTAATTTATATACTGTGATGTAAGGTAGAAAGCCCAGTGTAAAAAAGTAAAAAACAAAAAACATTTTAATTCAAGCCTTGAACAGTGGTATTCGAGAGGCAGTGCCCTGATCACAAAATATTCTGTACAGTAGTTTATGGCATAACATTCAATAGTACATTTGGGATTTACAGTACGGGTGACATAAAACAAGTGGCTCAGGATTTGGAAGATGAATGCAAATGCCAATATACTTGGAAGAATAATGGTATACTCCTGTAGAAGAATCTTGAGCCTCATTTATACAGCCTGGAAATAATCACAAAAACAATTCAGGAAAATTTGATGAAGACAGAATTATAATGTAATTTAAGCAGAACAATGGCATAAATTTTCACATGAACATCAATATGGTTTAATAATTTTTTATTTTTTTAATTTTAAACCTTACAGCACTCATGTTATAGAAAGCAGAGCAGCCTTCTTAAAATTAGTAAAGTAGTAAGACCTAGAATTGACTTAAAAAGCTTATTACTTACCCATTAATGTTTCCAGCATGTATTACCACTGTTCCACAGAGCTATATAAGAAAAAACACACAGCAAAACAATCATTTTCTTTTGCCCATAAATGGAACAGAAACACCATGTCTAACTGAAGTGAGACAAGCTCAGTTGGCACAAAGTGTTATCAAATTTATACCCATTTAATCAAGATTTTTTTCAAACAACAGGAAACAGATTCATGGTTTTCTCTACCAACCTTTATGGTTATCTTTGTTTCATGATAGATAGAAATGCTTGGATTATATATTCAACACCATTCCTTTGAGAATTTAATTCAGCCTCCGATTCTGCTCTCACAAAAATGGTGGCTGCATTTGAGGTTTTTTGTATCTTTGACATGTATATAAGAGCACTTATGCGAGATATCTATACAAATATAAATATACTTCATATAGATATCATACTTGTATTTAAATCTTTTATAAATAAAGATATTTGCATCTCTTTCCAGCAAATTAATCCAGCTGACTTAAAAGGGCAAAAAAACACCCCTATGGGATTCTTTACACCTGCAAAAGTACAGGTGTAGAGAGATCTATTGAAAATCATAGCTCTCAAAGTATCTCCCAAAATAATCTGTAGGAAATGAGAAAAATTGAGGATAGCATACAAGCCAAGAGTTTGCTGAACTGAAAGTTAAAAACATGGGTCTATTGCTATGGGAATCCCAGACTGAAAAATCCAAAGCATGTATCTCATACAATTAACATTTTTCCAAATTATCTCAGCATATCAGAAGACAACATTGTTTCCAATTGAATCCTTACATTTTATTATGGAAGCCCATTTAGAGTAACTTAAAATTTAGGAACAGGAAGTCAGGACCAAACTAGTGGCTCTTTGTTAAAAACATTATTTTATGTTAGCAATTTTTAACTTATTCAGGAACACTGTATTAAACTATTCATGAATCACTGAAACATCACAGAAAACATGCTATGAACCTCAAGACTATCAACATCCATATTAAAGATTCAAAGATCAGAATGGGACTTCCAAGGCCTGATTATTTCCCTCCTATGTAAAATACTGAAAGTCCTTAAAACTGAGAATCCTTAGATATGCCAGTGGAGAGTACTTTTGAATTAAACACCTTGTAGATTAATTTAGGGAGTACCCTTAAGTTGCAGAACAGACCATGATAATTGTGATCTTAAATATCATTAAAAACATTGTTATATGTAAATACTTCCTTCAGAAGGAAATGTGGAATCAAGATTTGGTCAGTAAATTATTGTAAAATACAGTTCTAATAAATAATAATATACAACTGACACAGCCATAGAATCTGGCAAGACTTCCAAACTTTCAGCTCTCTTGGTATTTATTTATAACAGATTGAATGAATGGTGAGATCTTATTTCTCTGCCAATACTCACCCCATACTTTCAGTCATTACGTTGCAAGTTAAGGCACAGTGAGCTACAGATTTCAATCAGAAATTAGATCCTTCCTTAAGCAACTCAAATATTTTGCAAACACAAACACCGAAGTTGTGGGACATCCTATGTTACCCCAATGGAAACTGAAAGTCTCACAACTAGCTATGTTTTTACAGTACAGAAGTTGTAGAGACAGAAAAGAACCCACATCTCCTTTTTAAACATAACTTAAATTCATTGTTTTGTGATGTTACACTAGTTCTACCCATGCAAAGACACCCATTTTCTCTGTTCATGTTTTCTGCATACCCTGGATCACCTGCCTTTTGCACAGAAAAAGCTCTTCTAACCATCATAAAAAAAAAAAATATGAGAACTCAGGAGTAGGAATGCATCCCTTCCTATCCCTTCCATCTGCTATCAGAGTATTTTCATATATTTAGCAATTTAGGACCACTCACTGCACTAGATAAATACCTAATTACCTGGATTTTAAGATCAAATTTAGGCAACTGTTTTGTTAAACCGTGGAAATTACTACAATATCTGTTGTTATGTAAAGAATATTTGAGAAATATAAATCATACAGCATTTGCTACAGTGAGTAATCATGCAAAAAACTATAACTGAAGAATTAAGTGATTCACTTTAAAACGTGCAGAAAATTGGATGGGTGATTAATACAGTAGTAGACTAAGTAAGGACACATGAAGGCATGCAGTTTCAGACTTGGTTTACCTTGTAAAAACAGGATTGTGTATACCATATAAATGTTCTTTATGATAACCATTATTACCATTTTCCGTACTGTAATAAAATAAATACACCGAGAAAGACCATGTTAACTGTAAGATGTACTATGTACAGTATGGCTTCTAAGACATGTACATGGATGATGGCATTATATGCAAAGATAAACTGTGTCTGTACAATAGAATATAACTTTTTGTTTGTCACATTCCAGAATTATGGCATAATTATATTTTACATTTTAAAATATTTTTATAGTCTCCCGAAGGTATTTAATTATTTTACTATTCTTGTCAAGTTGGATATTGTAATATAATCTATAAATCCTGGTGAAACAGAACATGTTACCTCTTTTGAAGTAACAAGTTATATTAAAAATATAAACCCTCCCACCTGAATAAAATAATTTTAACAATACCAGCAAAAATGTCTTACGTTTGTATGGGTATAGTGTCGACACTAAAAAACACAGAAAAGGAGGAATAATTAACTAGACACTAATAGCTGAACAATTTTAGCTGTACATGCCCGTTTCTACTCTACTGACTTGTAAACGTGTAATGAAAAATGAGCAGTGTGAAACTGGAGAAATGCAGTGCACAGGCTAACTGAATAATGAGCAAAACAAAGAATAGGAAAAAAAACCAAAAACAAACAAACAGTAAAAACAAAACTGATGTGAAAATATGTAAGAACAGTTATCATAAAGTAAAATGCCAAGTCCCTGAGACAGAGGAACTGCAATTGAAAAAGGAAAGACTGGTTAAGAATAACTAACACAGTAAGAAAGCAAATAATTAATTCAAAGAGATTACAAAGCAGGCATAGTTCACCTTAACAGGCTACTTAGCAAAGCTAATCACTCGCACTTTTGCAAAATATTTATGTAAACACCGTACACAAAGCTCTGAAGACCTCATTCTGAAATTCTCAAAGTCAAAGCTGGCAGTATTTGCAGAGAATCACGGCAAGCCAAGGCAACCAAAGCCCACCTGCATCAAGCACTTTGCAGGCACCAACACAGACCTGCAGCATTGCACAAGAACGTGCAGTTCTAATCTGACAGCACAGAAGATTTAAGGATTATATTGTCTCCATGTGAGGCACTAGAAAAAACATTTAAATCCATTTGCCAATTAGCTTACTTAGGAGTATATACTTACTCATCATATACATCCTCTGTATCCATTCTACGATAGTGTTTGGAGAGTTTTACAGCAAAAATTATGGCAGGAATTAAAAATATTGAAGAACCTCCCAAACCAAACCAGAAGGTATTCTGAAACAAAGCAAAACCCAGGAAAAAATGATCACAGAGAAAATTTATCAGAAAACTACTGAATCTTTGCTGTATATTCTAAGCATTGCTAGAGGAAGAACACAGTAGAAATTTGTTGCACTGGTCTTACGGACTATCTGAAGCTCCTTATACTAGTGCAGAACAGGGCATTTTAAGCATTCTCAACTATCAATGTGAACGAAAGAACACGACCGTCTTACAAATGTAACCAAACACTAATATGTCCAACGTTGCTCAAAGATACACAGCCAGAGTGCCCTAAGAAGATATTGCAGCATAGTCAGCCTCAGGCTAGAAAGTAATTTTGTGTCTCAGCATTCATTTACTAGCCAAATTATTTCTTTCTTCTTTCTTGGTATTTTAAAGTATTTGTCTTCCTTGTGGTTCTTGTCAAAATCTGAGTTTCCAGCACTTTCTCAGGGTACTTTTTAACTTGCTAACTGCAGCCTGTTTGTGTGACTAATTTCATTATCATACAGCTGAACTGAGTTATCACCAGATGTTAAAATGATGATTTTTCAAATTTGATTTGTGTTGGCTGGAGGCACTTTGACTTAAGTTATTCAGCGAAGTTCTATCATCGGAAAAATTTTGGTCCACCATCTCCCACTAGATGGTTAGTAAGTACACAAAGCAGAACAGAAACTCTGTAACATGAGATAATCAATGAATACAATATGATTCTGGCAGGTTAGGAGGTTTTCATGGTAAGCATTATAAAGGTTAAGCACTTCAAGGTTAGAGTGCTTTGGTTTTGACTGATTAAATGCATTTACTGTTGGTATGATTCAGACCTGGCTAAAAGTGTCATAAAGCTAAGTAATAGCTAAGAGGTGGTTTAGGTGGTTTCCAGGCACATGGTTTCTTATTTTATATTTAATACACGCTGTCCTCTTTGCAAGCTCTTTTGGCAAGATGAAAAAGCCAATATTGTCCTTACATACTGCTACCAGTCACGCTCAAAGTCTCCACTGTACAGGTATGAATCAAGATCTGTCTGCTATAACTTAAGTGATAAAACCTCATTCAGGTTTTCTAGATTCCAGGAAAGACACCTGAGAAAGTTTTTCCTTGGTATTTCTCACTCACTTCTTGTCCCCGCCCCATCCTCTTCAGTTAGAAATTTTTACAGCTGAAACTTCAAGATCTTATGCTTCTCCAAACTGGTTCAGAATCAAGCAAACTGAAACCCACCCTCTCCAGAATTTTTATTCCAAACCAATGGTACTGTATTGACTTTGCAATTCAAGTTGGAAGAAATTTAGTAAGAACAGTTAATTTCACAGAATTCTTTCTAATAGAAGCCTAAGTTTAATGAGAACCTAAAACAAGTCCAGCACCGGTTTGGCTTTGGACTTGATTCAGATCAGAACATTTCTTTTCTTGCATAACTTTGGATGTGACACTTTATTATCGTACTTCAGAATAGTCTAGGCAGAATAATTAAATGCAGATTTATGTTCAAAGAACTTCCCACTTGATGCCCCAATTTTGAGTAACAGAAAATATTTCTTACCACGGAATCAGTTATATAGCTGCATAAAAAAATATCTACTGCTGTATCTACCACATTGGCAATAGGCTTGCATGCTGCTACCTCCATGGCAATCTGAAAGAGATTTAAAAAAATACAGTTTGAAGTATCTAACAGAATAAAATAAAAATCTCACAACTTGCTTACAGTCACAGATACTGTTTGCTAAATTGTTATCTCTCACCCTATCCAAATTCAGAATAAATTCCAGTGGGATATGCTATCAACCAAACATCTTGAAAACATCAGCTTACTTTCTCAATGCTGCAGCTCAAGAAAGAAAAATAAAACAAGATGCTAATTGCAGGGTCAGGCTCAGTGCAGTATTAGCACAAATAGTAGATTTTAGGCTAGCCCTGGAGAAACGATACTATGTTAAATTTGCATTTTATTCCAATCAACACAACTCATCATTTCTATTCTACTTCAAACACAACAAAACTATTTATAGAAGACAAGTCTTCCTCTTCATAATAAGTATGAATATCTTACAAACTGAAACTATAAAATATACTAAGTAACATTTTTATTATTATTATTATTATTATTATTATTATTATTTAGGGTTTTTTTGTTTGTTTGTTTGGTTGGTTTTTTTTAAAAACACAGCTTCTTCAATGAAGTAAATGCACCTTACCGACTCCTTGACCCAGCCAATGTACTGCTCAAAGTAGCCAACTACGGTATCCATGTACTTTTTAGTCTCCTAGGAACAGACAAAAATAAGTGAACCTCTATCTCTATGACATCATAGATTAAGGTACTTTGATCAAATAAAGCTTACCTGGACAATAACTAGAGAAGCGTTGTTATTTATGAGAAGCTGAGCAGCATTAACAGCACTAATGACATTTTTCACCTTAACCTGGAGAGGAAAAGACAGAGTTTAATATAAATAAAGCCCTTTCAGGCTGTTACAATGGCTCTGCAGCCACTGTTGGGAACCAACTCTCTTGATAAACCAGCATCACTGTCCTGACAAAACATGCAGTTCCAGACAGAACATGAGCTTGCCCAAGGATTCATGATCACCTGACAGAACTCTCACTACTGAAAAAGGAAGGTATCAGTGGTTACAAACACTGTATTTTCCTGGAACCTCTGTAATTAATTTATATACTAGATCAGTTTTCCATTCTCTTACCTTTCATTACGTGTAGAAATACTTTCATCAGTGTATGTATATACACTACAGCCACATACAGTGCATAGGAAAACAGTGAGCCATATACTATTACAACTCTTGATTACTGGCGCATTATTCTATGCGGTTAGAATATGCTGCTAATCAATATCCAAAAGGGTTGAGACAATCCTTCAATATATTTACAACTCCATAAAGTCTCTCAAAGAATACACAGGAAGGATAATGTACATACAGCCTGAAACTGTAGAGATGTTCCTTAAACATACTTAAGGGTCAAACATCATCCTTTTCTTACCAACACCTTATTTCATGCCTTTTTACATCCCCATCTAGGTTCAAATCACAGATTTTTAAAAGAAATCTAGCTGGTCTGCCACTGTGGATGGGAAGAACTGAGCTAGGTATGGCCCATCAGGCTGTTCTGACTACAACCCTGTCCAGCTTTCAGTTGCAATAAAGGTAATTTTCTTCCTAGTAGGTGGTATAGTGCTGTGTTTTGTACTTATAAGAATAACATTGATAACACACTGATGTTTTAGTTCTTTCTAAGCAGTGTTTATATAAAATCAAAGACTTTTCAGCTTCTCATACTGCCCTGCCAACAGAGGCTGGGAGCGCACAAGAAGCTGGGAGGGGACACAGCCAGGACAGCTGACCCAAATGAGCCAAAGGGGTGATTCCATACCCCATGACACCCTGCCCAGTATATAAACTGGGGGAAGCTGGCCGGGAGACACCATGGCTTGGGGATTGTCTGGGCATCAGTCAGTGGGTGTATTGTATTGTGCAACACTTGTTTTGTATATTCTAATATTATCAATACTATTATTTTCCCTTCCTCTTCTGTCCTATTAAACTGTCTTTATCTCAACCCACGAGTTTTACTTTTTTTTCTGATTCTCTCCCCCATCCCACTGTGGGGCAGGGGAGTGAACAAGTGGCTGCATGGTGCTTAATTGCCAGCTGGGGTTAAACCACAACAGACTCCTAAGTGCTAGAGTGTGGCTGGATTCTTGCTACCAGAGCTGAGACAGGCTGGTAGCAACAGAAAGCTCTGTTGCCAGAAAACTGACCATCCTGTTGCTTATTCTCCCGAGTCTGGCAGAGCATGAAGGCAGCTGGTGTCATTGTGGTGCCAGCACTAGCTGCTACACAGAAGGAAACATGGGCTGCCCTGGGGAAGTCTCTATACAGATCCAGGTTCCCACTGCAAGGCTGATGCTGCAGACGCAGGGTGGTAGCAAGTAAGATGCTAAAGAAACAGGCTCTAGTGGGACCTGGACATTGGACAAAAGGTGGTTGAGGATGTGCATCAAAAAAGCTCTCTTTTCTCAGTTGTATTTGTGCATTTGGTTTCTTAGTTGTCACTCCCAAGTTCTGCGTTCAAGGATTCTAGAAAACACATCTACATTTTTAGGAACATAAACAAACATAATATCTGGAACTGTACTGAAGTCTATTTTATCATGTGACGATTAAGTTTACAATTCATGCTTCAAAAAATGTCCCAAACATTCTTTTTTTTTTTTTTTCTTTTTTCCCCTCCTCTATAAGGAATGGAAAGCCAGGGTAAAAAAAGCTGTGTAGAAGAGATACCTAAATCCCTGTTACTACCTCAATGCATTACAATCTCTTCCAGTAACAGAATAGCTAGAAACAGAAAAAACTGTACTAAAAATATATGCCCTGCATATGTAGCAGATGGATTTAAAACACATAAAAATGTTCCTGTTTGCGAGAGCTGTCTTGTAACTCCTCAAAACAGGGACTGAGAAAAAGAGCGTGAGAAAGAGATAAGGGATGGGGGGGAGCAGATGCCCTCCAAGCTGAGGAATGCCTCAAACACTCACAAGTAATGGAACTATAGTCACGGGGTGAATAACGTGGAGGCTGGAGCTGATAAGGCTGCTCGAATAGCCCAGGGTGCAGCTGGGGGAGGGGGCCCTGTGGAGGCAGGGACGGCTCTGCTCTGCTGCTTCTTGCAAAGTTTCAAGGGCCGTCTGTCCAGTGAATGACCTTTGCTTCATTATCCATGAAATGCATATTAAAGCTGAGGCCCCTGAAAATGCTAATGAAGATTAACAAGATCATGCTAATTATATCATCCCGTGAAGCACCTTACCCCTCCGCATACACGTGATACATAGCTATGTGGGTCAACGTAGGGGATGGACCCAAGGAAAATGTGTATAAATTGAGGCAGGGGGTGAGGAGTGAAAGCAAGCAAGCAATAGATAGAAAGAAGCAAGGAAGCAAGACGGAGGCGTCCCTGTCCAACTTGGATGGGACCAACGCACGACCCTGGACTGGTGATCTCTATACTCTCTCTCGTTTTCTTTTCCCCCTTTTCCCTTTTTAAATACAGGATTGAGTAATTAAGTAATGCAACACACACTATATTGCTTGTCATAACTTGTTATCTACTTAGCCAATTATCATGTATGCAATCAGTACATTGAGGGAAATTAATAAATGTCTGTGCGTGGACTTTGAGATTTGTTTCACCGTTGTCCACTCTATTGGGGACTTATGAATTTAAGTCACTTGTCTCCCTTGTCTGAGCAGGACATGACACTGTTGCCAGAAAGAAAAGCTTACCGTAAGTTCAGATGATGTCCTCTTCAGCAACCTAATGCTCTGATTTAAAGTGCTCTACAGAAAAGAGGGGGGGGAAGGAAAAGATTCGAGTCATTGCTGCAGGTAAGAGCCCAACTGTTTTAACATTATATGCATGCTTTGATCTTCTATAGATTATTTTGTTTCTAACACAACATATCACAGTATATATAGTAACAACAGTTGTATTAAAACTAATATATTGTGGTTTTAATTGTTGAATCAGTATTTCACCGACAGCACTAAGTAGTTATGAATTGTGTACTGGAAGACTTCAGATTTAACTGAAGTTAGTAGCAATAAACTGAGTGTGGTTTATTTGGAGGGAAGAGAGAACAGTTAAAATCAGAACCAAGTGCTCAGAGAATTCTATACTGTGCAATTTCAAAAAGGAAAAAGCACTTACCCTAGCTTTAACATATTTCTTGACAGTCAGTTTTGTAAAAGGAAAAAGATAAGAATAATTAGGAGGTTAATTAGGAAAGAACAGCATAGAATCAGAGTGGAACAGAAGACAATGCTTTTCTATAAGAGAGCTTTGATAGGGGCAGAAATACTGTATCAGATGTTAGGATAAACTAGAAGTCTTCATGTTATGGAGAGCATAAAGCAACACTTAGCATGTATGAGATTCACAGCGTAATCCTATATAAATCAGTGCCTGGCAAAATCAGGCAGAAGCAGCCCTTTCACATCTTCTACAGCATCAATAAAAAAGATTTTTCTTTGGCTCTAAATAGTACCGTCCAAATTTTCCAATTCCAATATTATTACATGATTGCTAAATCCAAGAAATAAAGTGTAAAAGTGATAACTACTTTTATTACTGAAGACAAATGGTAAGCAAAAAAGAAAATGAGTGATTTAGGGTTAGAATTTTGTAAAGTTCTCCCCTACTTCCTCTTTTATTCCTATATAATCACATATAGATAAAAGAAAACGGTTAAGAAAAAGGTCATGATTTTAGACAGTCTTATAAAGTAATAGTATTGTAAGCAGGAAAACTATTAAACACATACTTTAACCAGATTACTGTTCAGTGACACAATGCAAATGCGATCTGTACTTATATAACAGCAAAAGTCCAGCTTTTTAAACTGCATGTAAGAGATTTATAGATTCATATTTTCTATAAATGTTTTAATATTACTTTAGTATTTTACCATAGCTTGCTCTAGTGGAACGACTTGCTGGTTATGAATCATTCGAATGTTATTTGCGTGTCCTTTTAAGGCATTTCCCAGTGCTCCTTTTGGCTGCAAAAAATTCAATTATGCAGAATTGTTCAGTAGTCTCAATGCTTTCCAACAAAGCAAAAAACAATTAAAGTTGCACGTCATACTCATCCACTACAGAACAGCTGATACTAACAACAGGATATAGCAAATTGGATTCCTCAATACAAGGAGGGGAAAAATCACCATGTCAATAATTCAAACCCCAGCAACCAAAATAGCTATATTATGCTGCTTATATTTCCTTTTGGTGGCAAAACCACTTGGCTCCCTGCATACACACTCCTAACTGTTTTGGAAGTGTAATTATGGTAGACCTCAATGCTCAAAGATGTGTTTGCTTCCTGTGAAGTGTTCATGTAAGCAGTCAGCTGCACTCACTGAGCCGCTTCAGGATGCTTCATCTCCTGTACTGACAAGCTGAATCCACCTACCCAACAACACTGTGGGTGGCATTGCTCCCTCCTCCATACCTTGATCCCTTGGTTTGATGCAAGTTTTATTCCATTTGGTCCTTCCAGTGTAAAAACATACATTCAATTTTGTGTAAGTTGCCAGTAAACGCAAACTATGCACCCAAAGTTAATTAATTCCAGAAGTTTTTACTTTATTTTTTAATTGACCGTTCTTGTAAACTTTAAGAGCTATCACTAATAACAAAGTGGGATTATGAAATATGTTTGGAAACCACTATCAGTTTTGAAACAATCTAACTTTTGTAATACATCATATTGTGGGTTTTGTGTGGGTTTTTTGTTTGTTTGGTTTTTTTACATTTCATATATTACACTAAATAGCATCAATAGGAAGAAATAAAAATGTACACTATGACAGCAAATACATTTATTATTGTATTTTTCTTTTTATTTTATCTGAAGAAATTACTCTGTTTGATCTATTCTCAATCCTAACGCTTCCTTTAGATTCTATTACAAAAAGGAACAAAACCCCAGTCTACCATCACAATATATTTTCCTTTACAGAGCTTTGTAGCATATACCTTTGAAGAGACATCTCAGAGGCAATTCTATGTAATCGTAATTCTATGTCACGTGTTTGAAGAATCTCAGCTTTCACTTAGAAAACAGCCCCAAAACAACTGCAGAAACTCCCCATCTGTATAACCTTACAAATGGCACAGTATAAATTGAAAAAATAGAAGTGAAGTGTGGCCAAAGCTACTGATATCTGTCCACGTTAGCGGACAACCTACATGAGTAAATGTATGGCTCACCTGTGGTGGTTGGGGAGGATGCTAACTACAATACAAAAAAATCACGAGCAGCCTAACCTTAACATGAGTATACATGTGGCAGAAAGAAAATAAATGCAACAGGTGTGATTAAAGTATGCAAAAAGCTGGAGTAAACACACCAGGAACCTCTACTGGTGCCCTCCTCTCCCTGGAACAGGGATGGATACCTGATAAATTCCAAGCACCACGGTCTGTCTCTGTTGTCTGTGCCCCTTAGTGAACCAAGTGACTGTAGTACGTATACAGCATAACTTTCTCCTACATGGCAATGCAGGGATCTGCCCTGGCCAGTGTCCCATATAATGTCCAAACTATGACTCTCATTTTGAAAAAACTAAAGTGACCTTGACATCCAAACAAACATATCAACTGAGAATTCACTATCTGTTAACACAGCTGTGTCATTCTGCAGATTCATTTGTGGGCAACATTGTAGCTACACTCTCTGATCATTGTCCATGTGTCTGCATTCAAAAAGCCCTTCAGAGCAGACAGGATCTCTTTTGTGCATTCTCCCTCCACAATAGAGCCCCAGTTCTCATTAAAGCCCTCATGAGCCACCACAGTATTAATTTTATTGCTAATCGCAAAATCTTCTCCTTGCTAACTGGAAGAAAATTAATTCCTATCATCTCTTCCACCATGATCTAACCGATTTTTTCTTCCAACTGGGACCCTGAAATGTAGGCAGCGTAACAGGAAATACTCAGAGTATTCCCCTCATTTCTTAAGCAAACAGTAGAATTCAATAAATTATACTTCCAAGGCAGAAACTGTACAACAGTTAGCATATAAAAAAAATCAGTAACTATCAATATTTAAAATACAGCTCATAGGCAACATTGTTCTTGCAAATTTTTCCTTACATGACAATGCATCATGTATATAAGTGTCTGAAGTACAACAATCCTCCCACAGGAAGTCTAAATACTTGGCTATGTATTTATACTTACATAACATATAAACAATATGTTTTATGCATTACTGTATTAGTGATTTAAACTTACCAGCTGGTCTGCTCTTGCTTCTAAGTCATTAGCAAATGATAGAAGATCAACCTTGGTAACACTTTTATTGATCTGAAACAAGATGTGAACAGTAGGGAAAGAAAAGAGTATGTTCTTATTGCATATACAGACTGCTTGCACTTAACCACACCTACTTTGTCTACCCATTATTTCTTTAAATGTTTATTGACCTTAACTTCTGGAGTGATTTTGCTCCAAGTTTTGTCATTCTTCAAAACACACCCTTTCACACAAAAGCAGATTTTTCTCTGTTTTGCCCAGTGTTAAACAAATATTTCATTTTATGCTTTGTCCACTTATGTCTTTAGTTTACTACACTCACCTCTGTCAAATATGCTGCAAAGTTTATCCCTTCTATTCCTGAAGAGCTGAAATTCAGAAGATTCTCCTTCCCAATTTCATCCAGCAGAATGATTTTGCTGAGGTCTATCTGAATATGTTCAATTTTAAGTGCTACATCTTCTGTATACTGGGAGGGAAGCAAAATAAAGCACAGTAGTAGTTTGCACCCAGTGCATATTCTTCTATAGCACACCACCCTGCCAAAAGCATCTTGCTTTTGCTGATTTACTACTTCCATGAAGAAGCACACATTGATTTTTGTTTGCATCAACTTAATCTAATTAACTTCAATAGAACACACCAGGTAATGTTCTTTCCTTCCCTGTAGTATCCACAGTCTAGACATGTCATGTTCTAACCTACCTATGCATCCTTCATACCAATGAATTACTTTCCTTCCATTGCATTTTAAGCAGGCTTCTCTGAATAGTTAGTCCCTCTTAAGAGGAGGCTAAGATAAAACAGAATTCTCTTTCCCCTCCAGGAAATGTTATCCTTAAAAATTTTAAGTTCTACCCCTGGCCCTAATCAAGGAAACCTAGAAAATCAGTATCTCAGCTGTGGCCAGGACAGACACTGCTGTATTGGCAACAGGACTGGATAAGAATCCTCTAAATATGTTCAGTGATGTCTATAGATGACTTCCTCATTGTTACCTGCAATCTTCCTGCACTGCAACCAAACCTAAAATATTACTACTTCTGCACCCTGTGCAGGACAGTAGATGAGTCGTCTGGAAACCTGACCTCCTTTCCAACCTCCACCATTAGCCAGTTGCAGACACTCAAATTTTCTCTCTTGGTGAATCTTCCCTGTTCATTTAGTTGTATGTTATTTGGGGCAGGGACTGTATATAGTAAGTGTAGGCACCATGCCTGGCAGAATGGAGCACGGATCCCCTAGGGGTTGCTGTAAGGAAGATAAGTATTCTAGGCAACCCCAAAATTAATGCGGTCATGTATTATTACAATTTAACTGAAAAGCTTTTATTTTATCCCAACCCCTTCCCACCAAAATCAGAATCGTTCTTAGGAGCACCGAATATCATAGCCTGGATCAACAAAAACATAAATCTGACTGGAATCAGAAGAGAACACATCAAGAAAGGCCTTTTATATAAAGAGCAAAACTCTCATTAAACACAGTAGGCAGCCTTTGGAAGATGCTAGATTCGAACCTTCTATGCAAGTTTCAAAATTAAAAACAACACTACTATCAGCACCCATAAAACAAGCATATCAGAAAACCTTCCATGGGCCACCGAGACTGGTAAAGAACGTCTTATTTATAAACAGATCTCTTTCTTTCAAATTAGCTTGGACAGTTCTTGCCTCCTTGCAGGACCTACTGTATATAAAAAACAAAATCTACAAAACTCAGACATACTAGACTGTGTTTAAGAGCAAATACCTCTCCAGCCTTCAAAAATAATCACTCGTATTTTCTTTACTTACCGTACTAATATTTAGAAATTCATTGATATTGAACAGGTGTTCTAGGTGAAGGGAAGTATAAATTCCTTTGTTTTCCTTGCAATCACTATAAAAATAAAAATACATACATCAGCCTAAATACCACCCTGAGGACCAAGTGTTAAGAGAATGATTAACAATTTTTTCATAGTCTACGAAAATCAGCCCTTTAAAAGAAAAAGTTCTGGCTGTATTTTAAGCTAAATCTATAAGAAATCAAGTAACTAATAATTTCTGCAGGTCCTAAAGATGCAAAATACTTTATCAAAAAGCTCAACTAGTATTGATATACAATATTGTGCTAAGACTACCTCTAATAATTCATATATAGGAGAAAATTGCTTTTGCTAGTGATTCACTAGAAAATTAGAATGTCTTCTGGAAGATGTGCAATTTTTGCCTGTGCTGAAAATATGAAACACACTGCAAAAACATTATGTATAAATTGAATTAAATCTTGGTCATAACTTTAATACCTGTACACTTTTTCAAAAGTCAAGTTAATATCTGGATTTTTAAACAGGATGCCAGAGAGATAGTTTTTCCAGTCTTGGTTTAGTAAGTATGGAGTATCCAAAACCTAGAAGACAAAATTCAGTAATGTTACTATAATTCTGAGTTTTCAGTTCATGATCTTTTGATATATCCCCATATCTAAGCTTACCACCCACTAATGGAAATACAGGGAAAACAGGGAATTCAACCTCTCTGGTGCAGAAAGTGAATATTAAAGCTCCATGTCACCAAGAAATGCTGAATCACAGAAAAATTTATCTCCAAAGGAAGAGGCATGCAGTATTTATACTGCAAAGCAAATTAAACCCAGAAAGGTTCAATGTCTGTGTAAGGGGAAAGTAAAACCCGATCCAAACTCACTTGAAGTGTCCCATAAAAAATAAAAATGTAATACATAACTGACAAAGCCATTAGGACCCATGAGGATTCTATTCACTGTTTAATAACTTAAATAACATCACCTTGAATAAAGTTTTATCTTCAAAGGGCTCACAGACCAGTTTTTCTACATTTCCGCCTGTGACAAAAGTGAGCACCACTACAATCATCAGCACCCAGGAGAAAAGAAAACTGAATCCAACACCACTGAAAAAAAAAAAAGCTGAGTAAGTTTTTGCTTTTTAAGAACAAAGTATAAATACTTGGGACAACAGTGAAGCCAACAGTTAGTAGCTATATCAAAGACATGAAAACTGGTATATGGTTGAAATACTTCTGTTTTCCAAATACGTTCTGGCCCTCTGAAACATGTTTTACTTCTGCAGTCATCAGCTAAAGTATATCTAAAATGTTCTCATTTGCATTGGGCATGCAAACTCTTGTAAGAGTCAAATTTAAGAGCCACAAAAGCATACACTTTTCTTTTTTAAATTCAACTCTCTAGCCTTGCGCTCTCAAAAGAGTTTTAGACAGAGTTCAGATGCAGTCTTCTCTTGCATCCAGCAGAAATGACACTAAACCACTATTGGGAACTTTTAAGAGCAACCCCAAACCTCCTAAAGTGCTCTGAGAAAGTCAAGTGTTTGTCTCCCCACATAGCTTTTTTTTCTGTCAAGCAAATGCTCAAGTGTGCTAAAAAGCTATGAATGCCCTTTATATTTTCAACTATCTGTTCCCAGTTTTTGCAATTTCCAAATGGGTTTACACAGAAATCCATTATCTACAGCTCTCAACTCAAAACTGTAGATTCAGAGATTTTATCCTTCAACTACGATCCTCAATGGAAGAGCAACCCAAAATCCCCAAGTCCTTCCATGGAAGTACATGAGATCAATATTTATTTTTGTACTTTTTCTTTTTTCCCAGCACATATACATAGATAACAAAACAAATTATTTTCATACTATGTCCTTCAAAAAAAAAAAAAATCTCAATAAAAACAACCGCCTACAGGTACCTTTATTTTATTTTTCACAAATAGGTGAAACTTACGCCATAAGAAAGTTTCCTCCAGTGTTGGAGATGCAGCCTCTGGTTGTTGGAGAAGCATGTTTATCATAACCACAGGTGCCACATAGCAATCCAAGATAGTAAAAGATCAGAATCAGGACCACCATGCAGCACAGAATGAGACAACCCAGCCACCTGAGGAATAAAAGCCAGAATGCTGGGTTATTAGCATGCAAAGAAAACGCTGGAGACTTACAGAACACATCAAGCAATACTATCCTCCCAACTCATAGTTCTGCTTGAGCAACAGATGCTTTTCCTACACCAGCATGTATTTTGGGCCAGAACGTAATCACTGTTGGATTACAGACAGCTGCTACTGAAGGGCTGAGGAACAAACACCCCAGGAACAAGGTGTTGCCAACCCCCGTTACTGCAGGTGGACTGTTCTGAAGTGTCAAAGCGCACCCAGTAGAGCAAGATACTCAAACAGTAATTTATACAAGAAGCCATGGAGAAATTTATGAATGTGGACTGTCCATTGGTCATGAAGTACATAACTGCTCTTACTGTAAGGCTTATTACTTTCTGCACACATTGTTATGCTTGTAGTTGTAAATAACTGTATTTAAGGCTATTAAAACCTAGACTTTGTGTGTCTGTGCTGGAATGCTTTCAATGTATGGAGCTGTTAATAGAACGTGATCAGGAGAAAGATCTTGGATAGGAACTGAACTTTCATTTTTATTAAATCATCTAACAGTTCTATCTGCCCATCTATTTGGAGCACATTCATTTATTCACACATTTTATATCTCATTCTAGCCTTTCACTTTCTCCCAAATTCCTCTGCTCTTCCTCTACCCTTTTGTCATCACTTCTCCCAGCTTATATTTCTTAAGTTCCTTTTTCTTCTCCCTGTACCTTTGGTAGAGAGAAAGCACAAACCCAAAATATCAGAAAAAGGAGTATCATAATGATTATACACAGCCAATAAAGAGAAAGAAAACTATTAATGCTGACAGGCACATTCGTAAAAGAATACTTATTATGAACTACAAATAATGCACCTGCAATTAAGAAAGGGATGGATGGAAAATAATTTGGACAACTACAGGTTTGTTGGTTTCATTCATACTTGAGGTATGTTAGGTTTGACAAGAATGTGTATTTAAGTGCCACGTAGATGAGATCTGTTTCTCCATTTTTTTTTTAATCTAAATACAAGATGCATACTGTAGCAGAATGAAGCAACATATTCATTTGGTTAAATGCAGTCTGAGCTTCAAAGAAAGTATTGACAAATTTGTCAAATTAAGGCTCACAACAAAAACTGAGAAATAGGGAATGGGCTAAAGGTAAGGTTATATGTAAGTTCTTAAAGTTCAGACTCCTGCTCAATTTTATTTAACATTGCATTAAAGCCATCAACACACATTCTGTAGCAGTGAAACTGGTTATGACACAAAGATAGAAGTAATTATCAATTATAGAATCATATAGGATTGACATATCAAAACGCAGGGAGAACTTGAGGACTTTGAGGATTGAAATGACTAAATCTGGACAAAGTTAAATGGTATGAAATTCAAAGCTTTATGCTTCAAAATATGAGATTATTACTCAATTACAGTAGTCATACAAGTCTCAGGCAGGAAGAATATGTTTTTCTCAAGGTACAATCAACCCGTGCATTCACAAGGACAAGTACTACACCAGTAGGAATAAGCATGAGCGTGCAAAGATTTACAAAGGCGTGAAGCAGAATCCCTGCTACTCCTCCTCTGTGGTAGAAAGGGTACAATAAAAAGAGATTGGCTTCAAGGCCTCTCCAGTCCTGTGCTCTCACAGCCTACCTGCAACTCAACAAAAACGAGCCCTAAATAAAAAGTCACTTAGAAAAAATCCATCCCTTTATGCATTACATCTTCGGTATCTACCTACGTCTATCCTTCCTGAAAAAGACCTGAAGGCTTACAGAGTAGAAACTACTTCTTGCTCTGTAGTGGGACAGCACCTCGTTCTTCATTAGCTGCAGTTTTGGCTTTTGCCAAAATGCCAGTAACAAACAATTGCCTTACAGTGTCTTTGTTCCACTGTGTTCATCATTAATAGTTTTCACTGCCTTTACAGAACATTGTAATATTACAAGTATTACCAACAGGTAGCACTTGACTCCTGCCTTATTTCCTGTACATACCTGTAGAAATCATACTGCTCCACTACTGGAAAATAGTCTCGAATATATTCTTCAGTCTGTGTTAGAGATATCGTCAAATCTGATAAAATTTTATGAACAGGCAGTGTTTTTGTGAAGGTAGTGATATTTGAACCAATGGATTCCAGCACGTTTTTGATATCTAAAAGAATAAACATATTGCACTGTTACAGTTTCATAGAAGAAATCTACATGCCATGTATGCATTACAAAATGCTATTAAGCCATTTGCCACATGTAACAAGCAAGCCATGAAGACAGGCATGAGGAAGAGCCAAGCAGGCAACACAAACATTTAGTTTCAAAGTAACACAATGGCATTTTAAAACACACACTTTATTTTTAGCATTCAGTTTAATGATGAAAGATGTAGATGTCGAGCCAGAGTTCCCTCTTTCCTTTCGTCATAATGAATGTGTCACTTTTTATCTAGCCAGCTTAAATCTTGCTTTTCATGCAATATTGCAAATGGTAACACTGAGCAAAACAATTAGCCACTAAATTTATGAAGGAGAAGATCAAAATCTATTTAAACTCTATCCTTTGGGATACAACACTGTGAAGGAAATTAAGACTGACTGTATTAAGAATCTATACTAGTTATTCTAAATCTTATTTAAAAAGATTATTTAAATAAATTCATTCCAATGAGTTAGCAACACACTTGAGATAATGTTTTATTAAGACATTTTTTTCCTCAAATTATGAATGAACATGCTACCCTATACTTACAGCTTAGACAGACAATATACATAAGTGAATTAATCATGTCTTTGTGTATCTAAATAGTGTATATTTGTAAAATGCAGTTTCTGTTTACTCTTCCCCTTCTTTCAACTTTGAACATACTTGAAACAGCAGGATGTGTAAGTATAGGTTGCTATTTGGTAGTAGGCAACACCTCCCTCTTTCTCAAACAAGTTTTTGGCTGTTTGTTTTGATGTTTACTCTTCTAAATTCAACAAGGTACCAAAACACTCTTCTTTTCAAAGTTTACAAATAAATGCAGTATTTTTATAGTAAACCTATTTTTTTATTTGCTTTGTAACTCAAACTCAGTTTTTATAAAAACAAAACCCCAACAGTTTATAATTGGATAAATTAAGATGGCTTGTCTGTTTTTATGCATATCAGCAGATACCAAAAATGAGTAAATCTGCATTAGATTTTCTAACAAAAAGCATTATATCAGTTTTAGAAAACTGGCTCGTTTTAGGCAAGTTCACACAGTAGTCTATGCTTGTATAAATACTGTGTTTCATTTTGCCTGGGAAGCAAAAAAAAAAAAAAAACAAAAAAAAAAAAAAAAAAAAAACACCAAAAAGAAAACGAAAAACTTACAAGGAACAGCTGTTTATATATGCAGAACAGGTCCACAATGCAAGAACAAAAATTAAAACAGATTAGTATACATACACTATACTACATTTTATCCAAATGTCAAGTATCCAGGTACTGTCAAATAGTAACAGTGTGAAGTCCAACTAACAAAATAATTAAGACAGATATTAAATTATCCTTAAGGCATATTTTTACCTCCCCTTTACCATCCACTACATTTTAATACAGCAGCAGGCAGGTTCAGGTTTTTTAACACACTCCTAAATACATCGTAGATACATGGGTCAAGGAAAATTAGCTTTTCAACCAAATTAAGTGTCAGTGTGCATTTGGGACCCCAAGATTTCTCATTATTTGATCAATAAAAAGCCTAACAAATAAAACTTCATAAAATACCATATGGTCTATTCTTAGATTTAATTTTGGGTACTCATTAAGACACAGTTGCTTTCTATATTTTATTTATGGCACCAAATAAAAAAAAAGTTTTAAATTTCCATTTTTCATGAAATTTAGCCCAGGAAATATATTATCAATAGAAAAAAATAAAAATATCAGTGATGTAAAAACATCATTAAACAATCAAAGTGAAAAGATAGTTTGTCCTCACCTGATAAAATGTTTCTGGTTTGATTCACCACTAAGTCTGGGGTATCATTAAATGCTGCATAACCCTAAGAATAAAAATTGAAAAATTATACGTTTCTCATTGCCAAATTACTTGCATTTTTTTCCCCTTTATACAGGGAGCAAAAGCACACACATTCTAAAATGCACATGGTAATACTACAAAAAATACATTTAACACTGCACCTCAGGAAAAGTCAAAGCAAAATAAGAACTCAAGAATATTTCAGATTCAGTTTGCTCTCCAGGATATTCCTTGAAAAGAAAAAAAAAAAACAAAAAACAAAACCCAAACCAAAACAAAAAAAAAAAAACAAACACACACCACCATCTAAATTTAAATATCCATGTATCAGTCACAAATATCTCACACTTTATAGTACTGTTGCCTGTCAGATCTATCTCATATAAAACTTAGAACACACATAGGAAGCCTCACAAAGTGGAAGGAGTTACCAGTCAAACACCTCCTCTGTAAGTCTTTGCCTTCTTAACATGAAATGCATAAATCCAACTGCCTCTAAAGACACTATAATGCTTTCTTCAGTGAGAAGGGGAAAGAAAGAGTGCAAACCACAGGGACCAAGCTCAGTGGCTCACCCGGACAGAAAGGAGAAGCCGCTGCAGGGGATGTTTGAAGTCTTAACTCCCTGCAGGCCTGGTCACTGCAAAAGCAGGCGGGGGGCCTAAGCCCCCTACTCACGACCTTTGGGTTCAGGAAGTGCCTGCTATTCCTAGCAAACATTTTCAGATTGCTAGATCTTTAAACTGCCCAAACTAAGCCATTTTTTTCTAGGTGAAAACCATGGTGTTTTGTAGATAGTCTTGCAAAAATACTAATTATAGTAGGTCCATTGCACCAGATTTAATATAAAATATGCACATACAGATTTTGAAAGATGTATTTCAAAATAGCTGGAATACAGTGCAACTAATTAGGAGGCTGTGGATCTTTTCTTCTTTAGTTTGAACCAAAAAATATAGACGGTAGATCCATGTTTCTGCCTTTGTTTTTTAAGGACTGTTCTTTCAAGCAGACAATTAGCAATACATTTTTGATCTGTAGTATCCTGGGGGGGATATAAAGCACTACATTCATACTTTCAAATTTTAAATCTTGGCCAAACAATGGAATAAGGAGAGAGATACACCATGACGCAGCATGAGGTGGGAACAAGAGAATTTTGCTTGAAAAAAACAAAGGAAAACAAGTGATACGCAAGTAACCTAGTTCATTAACAGCTTACGAGCTTGACAAGAAACATACCTTTTGAACCAGAGTAGAAAGGTCTATTTTGAGGACATCATTGACCTTTGCAAGCTGTGAGCTCACTCCTGGCAACTAGGAAGCAAAAAGCTTTCTTGAGTCACATCAAAGTAATAGTTTTGCTAATTTACTAAATATTTCAAAGGTAGGAGACGGTAAAGAAACTAGGAAGACATTTTGTAGCAGAATCTTTCTAGGACATTCCTGAAAACTTTGCTGTACAAAACCAAAGCTTAACCTCAGCATTTTTGGGAGGGCAGGTTACTGCCCAGAGCAGCACTTTAACACAGCTGCTTGACACACATTTTGTCCTCTTCTACACAGAAGATTAAAAGAGTGACTGAAATTACCTAGCAACACAGAATAAGGGAAGGTCACTCATCTCACAGGTGACAGCACACACCAAGCCATTAAGTTGCAGAGATACTACTGGGCTTATTCAAGACAATCACACTGTAAGAATCTGAAAAATATTCTTACCCCACTAAAATTAGCATTGATGTTCAGTTGATTTAATGAATTCCTGATGATATTGCAAGTTGAAGCAGCCTGAGATGCAGAGCATGCAGAATCACTGAGTGTGTTGCTAAGATGCATTTTAACATCTGTCAAGTTTGCATGAAGCCTTTCTGTTCCCTCCTGTAAAACTTCTACAGATACACTCACATTTTCCAGTGCTTCCTTTGTTTCTCTGATGGCTGTAAGGGTGTGAAGTTTTAAAAAAAACTTTAGTTAGAAACTAGTCTATACATACAGATACGAAGAGAAAGTGCACATGTGTAAATGCTATGATATTCCTAACAATACTGATTTAAATAACCCTGCCTCCCTCCCAGAAAAATCCTTTAGCACAGAATACATATTTATTAAACATAAAAATATATCATTTATGTTTTCCTACAAACAAATGAATGTGCTCAGGCTACTTTTATTGAAATTCTATCCATGTCCCTACCTCTTCTTACTCAGGGGTTTCCGTAAAGAACTTTAACACTTGGTCATTAGAAATTAAAAGGAAGCCCACATCCACAAAACAGTATTTTCAGCATTTTGTTTATAATCCAACTCACAAAATACGCAGCTACAAGATGAAAGGGAAAGAGATCATGTTGCATCAGCCAAGCTTTAATAAGTGTTCAACACAGTCTGGCTTTCATTTTCATCCCAATCACACCAAACAAACAAAAAAACCTCAACCACTGAACAGGTGTTTAGTAGACAAAAAAACACACAGATACAACTAAAAATGCACAAGTTACAAAAATAAAGTGCACTTCACACAACACAGAGTTTTACCATTTTTTACCTTTGATAGCCCTTTCCACTTTGACTTCAAGACAAATAAGAGAAATAAAGCAAAAAAGGAGAATGGCAAGTGAATGAGAAAGAATTCATGGGTAAAATGGAACTCAAGTTCATGGATGATTCTCCCTTTGCTCTATAAATTGTACCTAACTCCTAAAAAAAAAAAAGCCTTAAATAGAAAAAATAATGAAGGATTATTTTCTTTAACGGGAGACAGAACTAAGCATGAGCAATGCTAAACTCAAAGATGCAATGGAGAAATGATGGTTAGCACTCCCTTAATAAGCTTGACAGTGTAGAGGACAAGGCCATTGTTTGTTCATTCCCTGACCTGTCAAAGAGTAGCCTGTAAAGACCTATGGACAGCTCTTAAAGCACTCTTTTCCTAGTCTCCCTTACGTTTAGTGGAAAGGGACAACAACTGGCAGAAGGGAATTCAGATTTCACCTCTCTTCAATGACTGCCGAATCTAGGTATCAACGGTAGCACATAAATCTTGATTCAGTTTGTAAATATATTTATAAATCTTAAAATATCTGAACCCTCAGTCTAAAAGAAACATCAAGGCGTGTAGAAAAATGTGAAGTTGAATCATGGTACTGCATAAAGACATCCCATGCTGTGCACTAGAAAGATGACGCCTGTCTTACCATGGCAACAGAACATTAATACAACAACATGTACATCTTTACCTCCTGCTATTGTTAGAGCTGCATCAAGTGCGGGACGTACTTCTTTTCCCAGCTCTTCTTGAACTCTACTTCCAAGCACAGGTCCAACATCTGTAGTATGGTGAGATTAAAAAAAAAAAAAAAAAAAGAAAAAAAGAAAAACAAAACATTAAACACTAGTTCAATTTAAACTACCTCTTAACATAGGTGCTGTCAGACTCTTAACTAATAAAATATAGCTATATTATTAGAATTTCTCTAAGGCCTGAAAGTCAGAACTTAGTGACAAGATAACGCATGAACACAGCTCTCCTTTAGTGAGCTATAGGCCTATAAATGAAAGCAGTAAATCAAAATATGGCAGAAAATACTCACTAGTACTTGACCATATAGGTAAAGATACATTAACATTTTAATAAACTCCAAAAATAGATACTTCATTGCATTTACTACTTTTTCAGAAACAGATTTTTTTCCACAATGTATCTTAAAGAGGTCAAACATCTAGACAGGAATTTTGTGGCATACTCTCTCACTACACACTATGTTTTCTTATTTTCCAGAGAAACTAGAAAATGGATTCTTTTTCTTCCTTCTGTTCCTCACGTATCCAGTAACGTCAAGGTTACCCACAACCCAGACCTGCCAGCCATCTCCTCGGAAATCCGTTAAGCATGTTAAACACGTGTTTCCAGTCCCTGTCCCTCACGCAGTGCATTCAGCAGTGATGCTCACAGTGCTGGCTTCAAGCCCACCCCTTGCTACCCCACCTCCAAACCCTCCTGTCTCACTGCCCACAAACAGAAATGAAGCTTAGTTCAGCAAGGAGACAAACACCGAGCAGAGTTTGGAGAAGCATCTTAATGTAACATATCCTTAGGTAGTCGCTGGGTCCCCTTCGTTTTCAGATCACGGTAAACAGCTATTTGAGTTTTTTGTTCTTGATGAGATGGGAATACTGCATGGTACAGAAGCATCCATTACTGTCAGCATTGTCATGTCTGGCTTGGGATGAGAATTTTTATCAGGCAGAAAACACTTTTCAGCAATTCATTAGGGTGGGCAAACTGAACTCGTCTGTACTTCTCTTGAGGTTTATGTTACTGTTGATTCCTTTATAATTAAATCCTTTTGTCAGTAGGTGTCACACATTCAATTCTGTTATTTCAAGAAAATAAAAGCTATCTTTATTTATTGATGATCACTCTCATCACAGATCCAGCTAGGTTCCTGTTAACTAACATATTAAATCAGCATTGAGAGCAAATAAATATTTAATTTGAAATTTCAGTTTGGAGTACCTGGGAAGCTACAAGGTAGTACCTGAAATGCAGATATAAATTTATTATTATTATAGACTTAAAGACGACATACATTTTTTTAGACCTGAATGTTCCTGACTAGAAATTAAGTAGGAAGACTACTCAACTACTGCTACTACTACTTTCACAAGGACATACCATGTGCAGTAGTAGCCTCATATAGACAAGACACATTGACGCCAAGAGTATGCCAAGCTGATTGCATTGAAAACTACCTTTAAAATTCATTTAAACCTAGACAGAGGCATAGATTCTGGGCATAAGAAGTCAATTTATGGTAAGTGGCACACTGCCATAGTTGCATAGTTTGATCCCAGCAACAATCCTGTTTAAAACTGGTTTTGGTATTTCTGTATTTCACTCCAGTTTGAAATGCAGACCTGTACACATTTATTAACACCTGCTAATAGTGCATCTTGAATTCTAATCTGCACTGAATATGGCTGTCTCTTTCTATAATCAGTTTTGGAAAGTGATGATTAAATTGAAAAAACCAAAAACAAACAAAAACCCAAAGAAAACAAACAAACAAAAAACCCCAGAAAGACAAAAAACAAAGAAAGAAAGAAAGAAAAAAAAAAAAAAAAAAAAAAAACACAAAACCCCCCAAAACATCAGTGGTTTGGTTGTTTCTATTTACTGAGAACGTTAAAAGGTGACACCTTGTACTGTAACTGCTGAAGGGGAAAGTGCAGCAGCTGTATTTCAAGTTTTATCTCCTGCTCTTCTACTGCTCATTCTGAAATGGCAAATACGTTAAGCAGCTTTAGAAAAAAGACAAGCTCATACCTCATCTCTACCTGAGTAGAGGACAAAGGTATAACAACAAAAACAAATACGGAGCGCTCTCACTCACTAGAATCACCAAAACAGCTAGCAGTTCTGTTCCTTGACATTTGTCTCCACAGTTAAAAACTGAGGAATAATATTCTAAAAAAGTTTTAAGTATTAGTGGTTACTGAACTATAAAAGGAAAATAAAATATTAGCCTGACTTATTGTATAAACAATTTAATAAAATACGTTTATTTCAGGAAATAATATGCATTATATCAGCTCTGAGACATTCTATGTGAAAAGAATTTTGGGGTTTAGTCTCATATACCACAGAGAACAGCACTTCTGCTTGGAAACCACATTCTCATTAAAAAAATTTCACTTTGCATTATGAGCTATTTACATCATCTTATTGAAGTCTTTAAATACACACATTGTTAACCCACCCCTCGCCTTTTAAATCAAAGTACTTACTATTTAGTTCAGAGAGTGCTTTATCCTTAGTTGTGTTGTACTGGCTCACCAAGTAGTCAATTTGCTGAAAAGAAGATGTAAAAACAACTATTAAAACAATTGGAAAAAGTAATGCATTTAAATAACGAGTCAAACTGTCACTTCGAAACAATCAAAATATTTGTGCAAACCCCCAAAATCCTGATGATCTACTGTTTTCAGTTAACAGAGTATTTTAAAACCTTGCTTGGCAGAACTACACATAATTAAAGATGTGTTTAACTGGGAAATCTACTTAATTGGAACATCTCTGGAGTAAATGATCCAGCTTAAAAGCATTAAGTAGCAGGAACGGTGGTCTTACAAAGGCTTCAAGTCAGTCAGGCCAATAAGGTTTTGCATGTCTTCATCTCTTTCTAGTGCCACTTTCTAGTGGCATTAGTTCCTACTTCACGGAGAGGCATGTGTCAAGGTGACGGGGTGGTAATTTTGAAGCAATTCACCAACCAGACTGGCTTGTATCTGGGGAGCCTCTCAGAGCTCCTCCTGTGGAAAGGAGGTGGCTGCTCTCTCTTAATGCAAATGGTTCTCCTTACTCCCATCTGGATTTGGCCCAATCACAATCTGAGCTCTACTAAGAAACTGTAACAATATAAAACTGCAACTTAGTTATCACCAGATCCTGGGTTTGGACAAAAGGCTATCAAAGAACCATTCCAAGTAGAAATCTTACTATACCGATTTTGAAAAGACATTAAATAACCTTTATGGATGTTTGTATGTTTAAAATACCGCTTTACAAATCCTACCACAATTGAGTTAATGTAATGTAAAAGTTAGCACACTTGACAAATGGGTTTCCAATTTTAAATGTGACTCAAATGTGTACCAAAGCGTATCTGGCTTGCAATCTCAAACTCTTTCATAGAGTACAGAAAAAAAAAAAAAAAGAGAAAAAAAAAAGAAAATTAAAAAATGACAGACAAAAAACCACCCTATCAATCATATAGCAGTGGATGTAATTAAATGACAAAGTATGAGGCAGACCTCCTTTTTCTAAAAAAGGAGAAAATAAAATGAGTTTCCTACCAAGAAGGCTGTAGGTATATTCTTTTTTATTTCTTTCTTTTGTCTTCCTAGGCTAACCTAAGGAATAAAATTTTGCAGGGCTACAGGTTTTGCACTGTCTCCAGCAATGTCACAGACAAAAGGCGATTCTGTATGACTAATAGTGTTATCGTTCAATGCTCACAGTCTGCAAATCTTCTATGACATGAACTCTTAACATGTGACTTCTTTTTACAAATCCTCTTACATGCTGTACAGCTCAAACTGATGAGTCAAGGACATGTTAGGATGTCAGAGCTTTATAGCCAACTAGTTGGAGTTTATGACTTTTTCAAGAAGGTGAAGTCCTTCTATCTTCAAGAAATTCTTACAAATGTGTGCGCATACATATTACTCCTGAACCTTGTCTGACAAAATTACTTTAAAAGGTATATCTGATGGCTGCATCACTGTCATCAAGTCTAAAAAAGAAAAATTAATAATCCTGCATAGAGACTGAAAACCTGCTACCTATGTGAGACTTTGAGGAACCCCTAGCACAAGTGTTCAAGTCCTGACATTTAAATTCATGAATTCAGGTGTTTTTATTAACGTTTTAGAAGTGTCTATTTTTTTTTCTCCTCTATTAAGATAGTTACTTTTACGTAACAGATTTTCTACTGCAACTTCTCCTAGTGTCGGAACTCAGTGTGCTGTAAAGGAGAGTCTACTGGTTTCTGATGCAACTGGATTACACCCTTCTGTGCCTCCAGTCAGCTCCAAACTTGATGAAAGGCACTCTGTTTCAAGACAGAGATTGTTGTCATGACTTCCACTTCCTTCCATATACCTCCATCCCTGGACTGTCACACCACCATGTGCAAACAAGTAATTCTATAGGGAACAACTCCACATATGGAAACTAATGGCATCCCCTGGACATCTCCTGTTCTCATAACTGTTTTTTTCAGCAGAAAAACAGCCCAGAGTTACTGTGACTGGGATGCTACTACACTTGTGGATCCCACATAATTGTGTGAATTCCCTGTTTCTCATTTATCAGTCACATGGAAGTAACAAAAATTAATTAAATTTAATTAATTAAAATTAATGAAAGACAGGGTAATAGGACTGTTGGACTATTTTTCCTCCTAATCCATAAAGAATTGAAATTTGTACATGGGAATGCTAATAAGGAAGACTTGTAAACCTTCCCATGTACAAATTTCAATTCTTTATGGAAGGTTTGAAAGCAGAAAGGAGAGAATCTTTCCTGTTCAGTATGGCACTGTATGACACTGGTTTGAAGAAAAAAAACAGTCAAAAATACTTCTGGAAAAACAGTTACTGTATCTCCGTCCCAGATCACAAATAAGTCCAAAATACAAGGAAATAGGAAAGAGCAACCAGGAATCTATGTTTCATGTAGTATCTTTTTTGAATATGTATTCCTTTTAAAACCATATTTTTCCAAGTGATTCACCTTCTGCTAGATCTTCTATACTAGTGCAAGTAGGAAGAAATGGGCCTACAAGCATCATTGCTGCATACTCCAGGAGTACAGCTCAAAAGTTGCTCAGAGAATGCTGAGCCATCAAGGGTAACTCCCAAACATTTACTGTTGTGTGAAGATGTCTTACCTTTCATCATTTATTCTACTTCATGAGACTGATACACAAAGAAAAAATAAAATACCAGATGTAATTTATACCAAATAAAGAATTACTTTCTGAAAGACTTCTTACTTATACCTCTTCCCTCCCACCCCCATTCCCCATAAAGAAAGAATTCTTTACCGCTGGAGTGTCGTTAAGGAAAATTTTCAGATCTTTAAAATTACTGTTAACCAGTTTCTTTGCTCCTTGGACTTGGTTAGTTAAATGCTGGTTGGCAGCATATGCACAGAGCACTCCAACACTACAAAAAATACAGATAATAGATATTTCTTTATTACTGTAAATGCCCATTCTAATATAAAGCAGAACCAAAAAATTACAGAAAAAAAAAAGTCAACATTATCAAAATAAGTATCTCCATAAATTTATACTTTTTTTTTTCTTATTACAAGTTTTCACAAGCACCATGAGGCAGAGCAGAGAAATTAGCCATAAGGACTGTTATTGTACTACTAATTCAAAAAAAAGGAAAAAGCTATGTTATTCCAAAGTCTTCAGAAGTTACTAACATATAGCTGCTTATCCATTTGCACTGATAGCGTCAGAAAATGTGTATAGCCTAGGTAAACTGTATGAGACTTAGAAATGTTAGGCTCTTTTACAAGCATTAATAACGTTGACACAGCTACAAGCAAATGTTCATAAGGTAACTGTGAAAAGGAAAATTTACATTTGAAAACTTCAGCAACATTTACTCATATGGTCTGATTTATTTACATAATTACATAGACCTTTTAAAAGCATACAAACAGTCCCTATTAATGCTAAAATAATATATAAGCATTTCCTGATACTAAAACAAAAGGTGGCAAGTAAGCTAGACTTCCAGTCAGCACTGCTGTTTATTTTTTATTTGATCATTCTGCACTGTAAAATTCTAATTACAGCATGGCAGATCTGCACAAACAGGAAATAAAAAGGCAACTAAAAGTCCCATGAGAGGCCTCAAAAGCTCTGTTAGCATACATGATCCTTAGTTTTTTTGTTTAGTTTAGGTGTAAAATAGACTTAAACAGAAGGATAACTTCATGTTTTTAAACATCTCACATTCACAACAGCTAACCCTTCAGACAAGCACCAAAACCATCAAGAGTAGCCACTGGATTGGCAATAGCTTCAAAAGCAGGCTGACTACAAACCCACTTGATGGGTCAAGCACTAACTTTCCACAGCACAGATCCACTCCACACAGGCATGACACATCCCTGAAGGACAAACATTGCCTAGAGGCTCCAGTCAGGTGCATTACAGGCCACTCCTGGATGGCACATTTGCTCAGTCTCTTACTTCACATTGTACTACAGCAGCTCAATACTAGAGGCGGTACACTGGAAGGCTGTTATGGACAGAAGGGAGTCACTGACACAAATGGTACTGTACTCCTCCCAGACTGTCAAACCTCCCAAGTTGGGGTATTAAGAAGATCTAAATACTAATACTTCCAAATAAGACTTAGAGAAAACACCTACCAGGCTCCCAATGCGGCAAAATAGATATGGTAAGTATAATTCTTGCTCCAAAGAATGTATGTTCAAAGGAAGCCATAATACAGTCACATAAATGAGAAATGAGATGTTGGAGAGCATGTAGGTACCTAAAATAACATGATTTGCATATCCTGGCAAGACAGGAGGAAATACCCTGATCTCTTACCAGCAATCCAAAACCAAATCTTCCATCTTTATTTCACTTTTCCTATTTTAGCTTTACCAAACAATGTGAAGGCTCGTTCTCCCAGTAAAACTGGTCTCAACTACAAGAATTTTTGCTGCTCTGACAAATATTCTCAGTAGGAAAATTCTGATTTCAGAGAATTTTCAGGATTTCTTCACTAACATTTTTCTCAATATCCAAAAATATTCAGAACAGGATGACAGTTTGACATACAGAAGTTGCTTCTCTACCCAAAATTTCACATCTGTGTATTCGAAACTGGCTACTACCTACCTTCTCAGAAGTCACTAATGAACAAAGGGACACCAACATTTATCTTGCTAGTTATTTAACTAACAGCAAATGGCATAGTTTTATTTCCACTATGACCAACACTCAAGCAGCTGTTATCATCAGCTATCATCTGTGGAATGAGAACTCAGAATGCATAAATGACAAGAAACTGAGTAACTTTCAACATAAACAGAAGCAGTTTAATTGTGGACACATGCAATATATTATTTCTTTTCACTCTATAGTAGTGTTAATTGGGTTTTTTAAAATGTCTTTTTGTTTTGTTTTGGTTGGTTGGCTGGTTTTTTTTTTTTTTTTACCCAGAAGACAAACTATCTTGAGCTATCAGGAGAAGTTAACATTTGTATATCACTCCAAGGTTCCAAGTTTATAACATCCTCCTTGTTCTCTGGACAACCAGTGTTTTTATGTCCTTTCAGTGTTATGCTCACAGAGAAGAAAGGTCAATTGGAAGCTAACAAAACAGTACTTTGTAAGACTTGAGCATGATCATTTTTCTTCCATCTCCTAAATGGAAGGAGTGGGAGGAAACAAGATAGCAGAGATGCTTTAAGCAGACAAGGTACTCGGAACAATTGCAGCTACATTCTGAATGTAACTAAACAAACACACACCATGAGAGAGGAAAAATCTATTTATTATGTAACTGAGCCTTGAAGCAACATTCAATAAGTGGCTACAAGAATACAGTTATAAAGCGGGGATAAAAAGGACATGCCTGTGGCTATAACTGATTAGAGAACCGTTTAAACAATCTCTTCAGGGATTAGGTATTTCATACTCAATTTCTTGTCAGGTTTCAGAGACCAATATAAAAGTTACTAATCCATTTGCAGGGGGGAACCCAAACTTTTCCTTTAGCTATGCTTGAAAAAAATTCCAAGTCACAAAATCTAAACCCTGAACTGATTTACATATGGAAAGAATGTTGATTTCTTCTACTAGCTAATGAATTTAAAAATATTGGGCTAGAGATTTCTGTACCAACTTCTTCGTAAATTCTTTCAGAAGAGGTTGACTCCCAGGTTCTCAACAACTTGCATTACCAACCTCACAAAGCCAAGAGGGCTTCTCTGAAGCCTGCATGAGGCACTTGCCAAGATACCAAGCATCACGCCCTTCCTTCAGACTTGGCTTTCCCTAGCTTTGTACACAGTAACATCCACAACTTCAAGAAAGAACTTGTAGCACAAACTCTCTCGGAAGGACAGAAAACTGGCTATGTGTTTCTCTCTCCAACAGCCAGGACATTTTCTATCACCAGTATTAAATCTGGTATTGCAATGTTCACTTTCTTAAAAATCCGATGTCCCTTCCTTGCCTTTACAGCATAGGGAAATTAATGAAATTACATTCCTTTCCCAGAGAAAACACGTGTTTGCCTAAGCTTGCAGATGACTAGGAAATAAGATGTAATCGCAGGTCTCTGTCCCTAAACTCTCAGTTAACCTTTGAAGAAAAGCATGTAATTGTTTTAACGATAATATTTGGAATATCAAACCTATTCAGCTATCTATTTGGTAGGTTATTTCTACATTCTGTGCTCTTTAGCAATAGAATCCTACTTTGTAGGATAACACTCACGTATAAAAACTGTGAATTACCAAAACCACTGCATGTATTTTTGACTCAATCTACCAAAAGAAATACTTTAAACACAAAGTGCATGTACTGGAAAGTGACACACTTAAGGCCTATTTACTTTACGATGAACAACTGTGTATATAATCACAAGTCTTCTGACTTATTTCTTATAGCTCTCCTTGAGTAAAGCATACTTCCCATGTATGCCTCAACTTCAGAGGGCAGACTTAGGTATAGCTTTTTTCCTTTTTTTTTTTTTTTTTTTTTATCTGTCATTTCTGTATTTCCTTTATACATTACTCCAGTAAACTTAGTATCAAAACCTCATCCTAATTACCAAAGCACTGTATCAGCAGAAAAGTGAGAAGAAACTCTATTCCTTGTAATTAAAATCTACTAGCCAAAATCTTTCTAAAATCAACATTAACAGCATATAGGCATCAGTGTGAACTTGCATGCTGACACATAAAAAGGCCATCCCCGTGTTACCAGAATTTTCAAGAGTTGTTGCCTATATACACAATGTATTGCAAAGTGCATTCAGAGTCCTTCCCCTACTAATACTCTCTACCATTCATTTGACCTGTATTTCCCAGCCAAGGAAAGACAGTTTGGACCCATGTTTCCATACCAAGAACTGAGAAAATAAAAAGTTTAATAAAAAAGAAAAAATGGCTCATGCTTCCTGCTCTTCAAAGTTCTGATCCTTTGACTGAGAGAATCCCAGAATGGCTGACACTGCAAGAGAGAGGGAGAAGATGATGGAGAACATACACTTAGATGGTAATTCTGAAGAAGTCAATCCCCTAGAAATCCTTCCCATTCCCTCCAGCAGCTGTCTGTAGGTACATTCCACTGGAGAGCCTTTAAAGCAAAGCTCCACTGGCAGAGGTGTGGGTTCAAGGTACTCTGGTGGATGCCTGCCTTGCTAAAGGCATCTTCTGAAGCAGTACAGCAGTTGGTGAGGGAGTCTATGGTGTTCCAGTCACCTGGCAGGGGCTTGGGACACATTGTCCCAAAGGAGGCCCCGAGTGCTGCATGAACTTTAAACTATATCCGAACAATCATAAGACTCACCTTAGCAATTTCATGGCACATCTTGATGTAACCCTGTATTAGAGGAGATCATTCAAGTTTTTGTTCTTTTGGCTCTGTCTTCAAGTAGCCATAGGCATTTGACTTGCAAAAGACTAAATTCTTTTGATTATTGTCACAGCTTATGTATTCAGCTGCGGCAGAGTCTGATTTCAGGATGAACAACTACAGGTAAATCTTCCACCTAAGCTGAAATTACACGGTAACTTGGGGGGAAAGTAGAGAAGGAGACTTAATCAGAATATAGCGTAAGAAATGGAGAAACAGTTGTATGTAAATCTCAGGCTTTCTCCAGTTTTTCTGTTGCAGAAATGGCTACCAACAAGACTGACCTTTGTGTTTCAGTATAGCAGTAAGCAAGCTAACATAGGCCTAAATAGATCCACGCATAGCATTTTTTTCTTCCCTTGTGAAAGAAGATCCAGGAAGGACAGCAGAATCCTGCTTTGTACAGAGGCGTACTGGAGACCCGAGGGGTCAGTAATATTAGCCCTTTAAAGTCCTATCTTGCCTTGCACAGCACTCACAGCATTAGAGACTTAGCCAGGGAGTCATAGGAGATTATCTCCACCTGTAGAAACCTGCAGACACAGCTCAGGCCAACTCCCCCCCCGCCTTACTGTAAGCATGTGATACTCCTGATGTCTTACACAAAAGGAAAAAAAGAAAAGGATGAGTTAAAAGAGGCCATTTCCCTGGTCCTGGAAAGCATGTTACTAGGGATCACTGATCTGCCAGTCATGATCTGGGAAGAAGCATTTGCCAATGCTGGGTATGCTTAGTATCACAAGAAGAGCTGGCAATAAATGCACAAGTTAGAGACCAACAAGGGGGGCGATCTCTTAATTTCTCTGCTGACAGGCAACATTCCTCAGCCATTATAACCAGAACATAGCATCCTGCAATGTGGTATAAAGCTAGCTGGCAAGCTCTGTGAGCTTCCTTCAGCTTTAGCATGCTGAGAGGTAATTTAATAACTAACTTACTTTGAGGCACCATTGTATTATGAAGAATTTTTGTCCTGTCATCATGGCAGGGATGCATCTACCACCCACAGTACCATTCAGCACTCTGGTCCTCAGAATACTTAAGTGTCACGTTCACTAGTGGTGCCTAAAAGCAAAAAGCATGTTCCCATACCTGATATCAGCATGGCCTACATTTGAGCACAGGCAAGGTCTCAATTTGTCATGACAAACAGCAGTAAAAAGAGAAAAAAAAATTTTAGATTAAAGTGAAATAACAAAGTAAGTCCCACCTGACTGAACAGTCACACAGCATAGATCAAAAGACTTGTGGGTTTGGTTTGTTTTTTTTTTTTTGTTAACATAATCACAAAATAAGAACAGTAGGTAGGTGAAAATATGAAGAAGTTGAAGAAAAATAAAAAGCCTGAATGCAAACAGTGTATTTTGAAAGCATCTACAGGGAAAGTCTTGATTTAGTACCTTATCACCCATTAGACACCCAGCACAGGAGTACGCTCCTAAGATTAATAGCACAAAAATGTCTCCAAACTCCAGGATTTTACAGTGAGTTCATGCATGGTTTAAACAACTCAGTGTCCAAAAGAAAACTCATTATTTTGAACGAGTAAGAAAATCTGGAGGACAGCATATACTGAAGGAGGTCACACAATTGCTTTTCTCACCACTATTACGCTATCAAGACCAAAGCAGTATGTTGTACCTCAAGTTCTCTATGAGATGGTATCTGAACATAGGACACAGTACCTTATGTTCATAAGTTTAATGTAACATTCTGCAATTGTCATTTTGAGACTGGTAAAAACTTAATTTGCTGAACTCAAGCTTTTTTTGGTTGTTGTTTCACACCTACATTCCTCTCAAGTGAGTGCGCAATGACCTGTGGATAGCAATGGTAGCAGCATTGTTATAATGCAGTCACATTTTGTTTAATAAGCAATAATATTAGTTTAACAAAGTAATTTCTGTACCTGTAGGCCAATATAGTAACATTATTTGTCATATGACACTGCAAAATCAGTGCTATACCAAGCTTCATATTGTTATCTTTATTACACTTGCCTTATTATTAAAGAAGCAACAAAAAGAAATGTTGCAAAACAGCTCCTCTGACAGTCAGCATTTTTCTTCTGTCTTTGATGCATTTCCCCACCACAGTTGTCACAGCAACGACACATACAGAAGCAAAGTCCCACAAGAGGCAGTAACAAAATAAATAGCAATCCCAAGGCTGCGGAGACTATAAAACCGATTTCATAGTAGATGGCCTGTAATTCAGACAAAAATAGTGGTAATAGTAGATATCACACAGTAACTGCAATCAATATAGAGCAAATAACTAAAAATCAAACTACAGACTAAACCATCTACTAAGTTACCAAAGTTATGGACTTGGTGTATTTTGTCAATAATTGACAACTTTTCTAACAAAAACATAAATAACATTGCAGATACTGATAGCTAATAATTATTTAGCTAGAATATTAGCTAGGTAGACTACAGGAGTGAGTGCCGAGAAATATATATTCACAAGAAACAGATGTGAATCAATGCAATTGAAATAGGTTAAAAATTAACACATTTGATTTCCCAGACCACAAATTTACTGTTCCTCACATCTGTTTCCAAAAAGGCTCCACAAATGTCAGCAAGGCTAAGTCAACGCTTCACCTGGGAGGGGAGAGGGAGGCTTAGCTTATTATCCTTTTTAATCAGCTCTGAGTAGAAAGATTCATACAAACTGCCAAGGGAAGTACTTCACTGGATGACCAATTGCAATGGCAGAGGTTTCTCTAAACTGCTGAAGTTAAAACTGCTTAGGGACTGGAAAACATGAAGGAGTGGATTTTAAGCTCTCTCAGGTAAAGATATTTATTCTGCTGCCAAACAGCACAGCAGCATCAACTAAAAGAATGCTTTCAAAAGCTGGAAGGAGAGAAAGGGAACAACGCGATGCAATACGCTAACTAGCTTCGATGTTGGAAGCAGTGCAAGTGCCCCAGGACCAAGAAGCTGGGCCACGCTGCCCTGGCACAGCCCCACGCAAGGTGACGTGGCTTCCAGGGGACAGGCTGCGAGCTGGCCGTGCTGCTCCCCTCTGCTGCCAGCACAAGCCAGCACACGCAGAACCAGATCGGCCAGGCGTCCGCGCACAGGGCTAGGCAGCACAGTGTGGGCAGTGCTCTTCCCCGATAAATCTCTTTTCTCCTTTCCTTTCCCCATTTTAGAAGAACTAATTTCACACTAGTACTTTTGAGTCCTGTTTTACTAATCCGTCAGCACAAGGGCAACTTGGCAGTAGAAGGATGAAATTAAGACTGTGTATTGTCCTGCAAAATAACTTACAACTTCTCACAACCTATCAGTCATGCTCCAGTTCCAGCTTTGCTGATGCCCTTCCTCACAATCCCTAATTACCAACTGATCCAAATACAGCAACAATCATCATTAGCAGAGTTGCAAATTTCTGACCTAATTACCAATTCTAGGATGAAACCTATTTTTTTTCATTATTATTGACAATGGCTGGTTAAAAGCTGTTATCCCTTCTGAAGAATACAAACTAGCTGCTTGGAAGAACTTGGCTAGATTTTGCAAAAGAATTACCATTTTCTAGTTAGCAGAACACTCTAGAAATTATTTGACAACATAAATTCTAAAATAGGTTAGGTGGAAAACCACATTTTACATAACATTAAAAATAGTTATGGATGTTTTAACAGAAGTAATGCATACAGACATGGTTAGATTCTTTTCAAGGCTGTACATCTACCATAAGACATTACCTGAAGAGTCAGGACAACATTTTCTGGCTGTGGAAGTCAAAACAAGGGGAGAATGTGTATAATACACAGGCAGCATGCACAAAAACAAATCATATGAATAATGAATAGTTAACCATGACCAAAACAATTAAGAACACAGAAACAATAACAAAAAGCCACTAAAGTAAAGTAACACATAGAAGCACCTTAAATAATTATGTAAAATTATTTACAATAAAATAGATAGCAGATAATCTCTGTCTTCCTTGGTAAGTGAAAGGAATCTAGGAGTTTCCCAACAAATATTTCCATGTTAAAACAACAACAGACCAGTTATGGCTGCACTGAGCATCTGTTTCATATGATTCCCAACACATGTCACAGAAGGCCAAAGATTGCATTACTGTGTGTTTTAGCAATTTCTTCATGAATTCCACCTGTCATAACTGACCCATGACATTCCTGATTAACTTTTTCTTTTCAACATTTCTTTTATTCTGACATCAAAACAATAATTTTACCAGCAGCTTGGGACCATAACACATTACACACAAAATTTACCCTCACTTTTAACTAATTGTGTAGAGGTTTATTTTAAATTATGCAAAAGTAAAAAAGAAAAGGCATTCGAGAAAGACTGAAGAAGTCTACTTATCAGTTCCTTACCAGATTTTCTAGCTCTAATTTCAGAGAAACACTGAAAACTAAATATTCAATGACGGGAATTTCAGAAGAACCTCATTTCCCCTTTGTTTCCACAATGGAAACAGAATTTCTTGTATCCTTTCCCTTCACCTTTGAATGACAAGTTCACAGCTATAATGCTTTCCCCTTTCTCATAAGCAGAAGAGAAATGGGAATTGGACAAGCTATACACAGCAAGACCCCTCAACCCAAAGTCTGATGCGTGAGAATCAGAAACATTCTTAAGGTTTAGGAATTTTTTTTCAGCATCGCACACAGCTGCTTTATAAAACAACAACTGTACAACATGCTTACGATGTTCAAAATCATATTTGGAACTCTACTTTTTAACGGGAAGAAAACAAATGCTTTCTCTCCCTCAAACATCTGGTACCGAGTATGATTTTGAAGGGTTTAAGCAAGCACGTCCCCCAGCAGAAGTGCAGCAGCAGCCGCCGCCGTGGGCTGGCTCCCCCGGAGCAGGCATGGCGGCTGCGCTCCGCTGCTGGGCTGGCCTGGCAGATCGCTCTCGCTCGGGGAACAGGGAGACCTCGGTGGTAAGAGTCCAGCTGGGAGCACGGGAACACACAGCACAGGAGTGGGAAGGGCCTCCTGGGTCACTACCACAGTCTACAGATAGGTTTCAAAAAAAAAAAAAAAAAAAAGAAAGATACAGAGGAACAGCAGTAGAAATGTACCAGGATAAACAGGAGAACCAGATTTCCTGTTCTCACTACTGAAGGGCTGCTCCCAGTGCTTGGTGAACGAGTGAGTCTTCTTACACAGATGTACTCATGGCCCATTTCTGCCCCTTTTCTTCTGTGATAGCACCACCTTATGCCCAAACAGTTTTCTCTTCCTGGTGTTTCCTCTTCATATATATTTATAAAGAGTAATCACCCCCCTTATCAATTATTTTGCTAAGCTAAGCAAACTCTTCCAGTCTCCTCTGAAGACCTGTGTGTTTCCCAGATCATCCTAATACACATTTTCTGAACCCATCCTACTCTGAGTTCATTCTTTCTGAATCTGAGCAACCAAAATCACAGGCAACATTTCTAACTACTTACCTGCACCCTTCACTGACATTCACACCTCCCTATCCCCACTAGAAATTTCTCCAGGGGCACATCTAGAGCCATACTGGCTTTTTCACAGCTACCTCTCACTGATGCTTCTGTCTTCTGAGGGACTCGTCTTGATAGATTTTCCTTTTCCAAATTTGCTTTAAAGTTTTGCATTGTATTCAGGTCAAAATTAGGACCTATAAATGAACTATATATATGTTTTACTCCCTAAGTACACCTAATACTGTATTTGCCACTCTATAATCACACAGTATTTTAACAAGTGTCTCCACTATGCAGGATTACAGGTGTAATTAGTCTCAGGTTTCTCATGACTGACTTAGTAGTTACTAAATGCTATACTCACAGTCATGTATACCACCTATGGTCTAATGGCTTTGTCCAAACACCAGGTCCACCCTACATTCCTCCCTAGGTGTTTGGGCCCAATCTGTGATGCACTGTGCTCTCACAAAGCCCCAGCAAACAAGCATATGGGATTGTCAGGAGTTGCTTGATGCAACATTACAACAATACCCACACGTCACGCAGAGGTTATCAAGCTACTGGAGTGATAGGCTTGTGGTCAGGAAGACATGGAAGCGCAAGGCTTTCCCCCCTCAAATCTCAAGATCATTCAGGTCATCCTGATTCAAGGCAATAACTCAATGCCTGAATGTCAAGCTCCATACTCATCTCCCTGACAGGTACATCATACTGCAGGGACTATGAAGCAAGTAGCTCACACAAAGTAACACGTGGTTAAGGTTCCTACTGCAGGAACTCCAACAGTGGCATTGCTTCAAAGATGGGATACCGTCCATGCCAACAGCCTAAAGTCAGATCCACATTATGTTCTTTCTTCTCTTACTAACAAATAACCTGTGAATTTCCACTGTTACAGGATAATCACAAACCTAAAGAGAGAATGGAAAATATTCTTGATGTGATCAGCACACTACGTAAACTAAAATATACTTTATAAGTAGGCTGTGGAAACTTCATTTGACGAAGGCACCAGAACCAACAAATTCAGCTTTTGAAGAGAATAGCTGAAGTTAACATGAGTGCTGAGCAGTAATGGTTCTCTCTAAATGTTTTAAAATAAAAGCAGTATTTTCCAATAAAAAGAGCCTTCAGTACCTGTGCAACAGACACCACAATCACATTACAGCTGGAATGTATAAGTAAGCCTTAACTATGCATAGCTTCTTTACACTGGCTTATGAAATTTTCTTTGTAATATTTTTTGAAAGGTTTTGTACCCAAATTTTGTATGAAACCATCATACACATCATTCACAAATTTCATTCTTGCATCCTATTGTTATAGCTTTAAAATACTATTTGCTATTTTAGAAACAAAACTGGATTTCAAAGTAACTATTTTCATTATTTTATGAAGATACACATAGTCAATTTACCTTTTGATAGTCATCCTGTGTATTTCCAAACTTCTGCTGTGCTAGTTTTCTGATGAGATCTGAAAATAAACAATATTCCAGAGTTTTAAACAACATAAATAACAAAAACAGTGGAAAGAGGATGATATGAATTCTACTGTTCAGCAGGCAAGATGAAATTAAGAACAGACATCAACATTATGGGCAAGTACATAAGTGTTTCCATAAACCTGTCTAGTAACAACATTTTTAATCCACTGTATATTTTATGAGGTCACGAGAAGATAACCAGTTTATCTATCAATTAATCAATTCCTGCTAAAGTACAGTGAAGATTTTTCCTAGGCCATCCTCTGTACCATAGCATCATTATTAAAAGTTAAAACTTATCAATTACTTTGACAAAGTTCTGAGTATTAGTTTTGCTTCCTGTTTATGACAAGTATGTACATGCATACGTATAAATACAGAATTAGAGACATAACATGAAAAACAAGCATGTTAATGATGACCTCTTAACTGAATGGTACAAGGAAGAAGGCCCTTATCTTGCCAACGTTACAGCAATATTTTCTTTCTCTTCCTTTTTTTTTTGGTCTCTGGACCAACAGCCTTTGCACGAGAGTATGCAACACTATCACAATAAATCTGAAAACCTAACATGTGCAACCTATTGCACGTGCAGCTCCATCTAACACACTAATTTCTAACTCATTCACAATATAGACCAAATACAGCAACCACCAAAAAAAAAAAAAAAGTAGAAAGTTAACACAAATAGTGCCACTTAACATTATAAATGTAACTTCACCACAGCAGCTTCTTTCAGTATAACCCCAGCAGCTGCAACAAATGGATCACCTTCCTGGGACACCACCAGGCTACCCTTACCAAGGTTTTGCCAACCCTATGGGACCTATGATGGAGACTGTGGCTCCTGGTCATTTCTGTGACATCCTGCACTTGAAGAGGGGAACTCCCAGCTCTGCAAACTCTCTGCCTCAGAGGCATCAGTGGCTCTGGGTTTGCGCCGTGCTAGGCTACAGCTCTGCTCATACAGAGCTGGACTTCATGGTACTATTGCCCCATTGTTAGTCTCCCCATATGCAACACAACATACTCGAGAAAAACCTCCAGTAAAATTTACCTATCCTGGGGATCAATAAAGGGCCTGTAGGTTCAAAACTGACTTGTTCCCCCCCAAAATCCAAGCCTTCTCAGAATCTATTGTAGCGCTTGTGGACTCACTGAAGATATTTCACAAGAGCGGTGATCTCACGCCTCTCTAATCCTCGATGTGGCTCAGGAAAACAAACCCCTGAACAAACAGTGCCCACAGTCCTCCCTCCCCAACACTGTGTAGAAGGAACATGGACTCAACTGATCTGCAAGCTGAAGAGATATTGAAGAGTTCTTCGTAGAAAATTATGTCCAAGGAAAGAAAACACACAGCAGCAAGGCAACAACTGCTGTTTCAAGGAAGGTACTCCCTGTAAGGAAGCTGCAGCCAGCAAGACTGCCAAATAAAAAAAAAATAAAAAAATAAAAAAAATCTGTCAACACATCACTGGAGTGTCAAGCTGCAAATCCCCCACAGATGGGAAGTGTATTCTAAAATGCAGAAGGAGTGCTAGCAGTGGATGATCACGGACTCTCTAATGTGAGGCAACCTCATTTTGGAAAGACCGTATGTATGCTAGAAGATAAGGCTGAATCCCATAGTAACAGAAATAAACCCCAAAAATATGTCAAATAAGCATCTGGGAAGAACAAAAGAGTTACAGCCCTGCAAATCCTTTCAATGTCTGCACCCTGAGCATCAGGAGACAGCTTCAAAGGGCACACATCACTGCATGGGCAACACACAACTAATCCACCACTGCTGCTCTGAGACATCTCACAACACTGGGACCAGCAGAGTCCTCCCTGTATCAAGACCATCCCAGGCACCATCCATGCTTCTCTGGGAGTTTCAGTGGCAAGGAGATATACAGTCAAGTGAGGCAGAACTGTGCAAACCCCAAAAATGTAATTCACACTGGCTGTTAGACAATTTTTTTCTTCTTCAGCAGAGGCAACATTTATTTCTTCTGGTTTATAGATATATTTATATATACCTAGCAAATAAGTAAATCTAGGCAGCACTGGTGCATAAAATACATAATGCAATGAATTTCCTCTACAGCTTAGGGCCTTTCAGCAAGCAGAATAAAAGGTCTAAAATAACCCTCTTGTTTACATATTTATTCAATCATTAGCATTGTGTGACAACACACCACAGAACAGCCACTAAAGAGAAATTTCTACCAACTCGTATCAGAGTGTGATGGGAAGGAAGGAAAGGAATAGCTTCTGCAGTCCTCAGTGGCGTGAAGCAGTACAGACCGTCTGCATGCAGGCAGTCAGACACGGGGGCTGGCTGCCAGGGACCCTCTGGCATCACCCTCCCGCCTGCTACTGTGGAGCCGAGCAGAGGAGGGGCCCCAGCAGCCTGCCCTCGCTTCCAGGCTGCTCTTAACTCATAGGCTCATCCTTCTTCGGAAAAGGGCTGGACCTGATGACCTCCAGAGGCCCCTTCTGATCTAAATGATTTCAAATTTATCCTAAAATAATTCTTTTCATTATCAATTATTTAACAGAGGACTGAAAGCACTGCCAGGAGGCATGTAAGAAAACCAAATTTTATGACTGACAAACTTCTTTTGATACATTTCCTACTGTTGGGAATCAGTACAGGATAAAATTTTAAAAGCATTAGCCCTTCCTGTTAAATAAAAGTAGAAAAATTTTAACCATTCTTTTTGCTGAGTATCTGTTCCCGTCATAAATAAATATTAACCAAAAAAACATTTTACATCAAGTTTTACATACATCTACACACACGTATGTATTTATGGACATCTGTATGCATATGTAAAACCAGTCAAGAGAAAGAGTGGATGGTTGGGGCTGGAATGGATCCCCCAGGATCTTCCAGTCCAGTCCAGCAGCTCAGTGCAGAGCCATGCACTGCCAATTACCCAGGGCCATGTCCAGTCAGGTTTCCAGTATCTCTAAGAACATCCAATACTCAAAAACCAAAACCAAAAACCACCCAAAACTGTTCTGATTACTTGTGATATGCTTAAATTGCTCAAAATGTGCCTGATTCCATTTTTATTTATACTGTTTCTATAAGTTATAGCCTGCCAGTCAAAAAAAAAAAAGACAATCTGAAGACATTATGACAAACAGCATTTTCAATGTGTTTTTGAAATTTAGAGGGTCTAAAGCCTGTTCATCAGAAACTAAAACAGCTTTAGGTTTGTTATAAACAAGAAAGCCTGAAAATAGGTAGAAAAAGTTCCCACATGGATAAGTTAAATAGTGAGAACAATACAGGTTTTATATATAACACAATGGCCACTATTACACAGCCCATTTTTCCCCTTAATTTTCCAGAATGTGAGATTTCCCTGCTGAATAAAGTTTTACTACTTACTCTGTAATGGTTTTTCAGAAGTAACATGACGCTTCAGAATGTTTTTCTCACCAGGCAGCACACAGTGATTGACCAACCTTTGCCATGAATTTACTATTTTAATAGCCTTCAGTATCAACTAGATTAGATACATTTCCAGTTAATTCATTCCAAATGAAAAATGGTGGTCATATATATTTCCCATTTAAAAAATAATTTTGGCTATAACTGAATGTGAGATTACCTGCAGTTACTCACCTACACATCTGTAAGCACAAACATGCCTTAGTGGTTTAGCATCATCAAGAATCTCTCTGCTCACTGCAGGGGAGTTGCACTAGATGATCTCTAAAGGTCCCTTTCAACCCAAACTATTCTATGAGTCTATTCGGTTTTGTGCACACTGATAGTAATCACAGTTACCGCTGCCAGTGCTTAAGGGTTAAGCGGGGGAATGTCCTGTGCCAGGTACTGTGTAAACAAGCATCCTGTTTTCAGGTATGGCTACACTGCTCACTGTAGCACACCTCAGCTCACTTACAATTCAGCCCGTGATTTTGGTTTCCTTTTATGAAGCACCTTTCCTCCCCAGCTAGAACATTTCATCTCTAGCATTCAAATAAGTTTTTATTTAAAATTGAACTAAGGTAACACCACACAACTCTCTTCTGCATTATCGGGAGGTACTACCCTCAGGCTGACTTCTGTTTCAAACACAGAAGTGCTAGGAAGGGGTGATAAAAAGCAGAGTCCTCTATTTTCAAGTGAACAGGATTACTTCTGAAATCTCGGCTTGACCAGCTGCATACATTGTTTCACACAACCAGTAATCCAAGGCTTTAGCACAGAACACATTTTATCACTAGGGTTAAAGAGATTTACCTTGTGCGGCTCATTTACACAGCTAATTACATTACTGCTTTGCTCTGTCTCCTTCCTGCTCTCATCATACATGCAAAATGCCATCTGCTCTAGTAAATCTAACTAAGCCAGATGAACTGTTAATTTACCAATACAATTTGCAATGAAGTATTAAGCACCTCTGAGGAGCCCCAGTTAAGAAAACATAATCACCAACTCCTGCACTGCACACTATTATGTACATACACTCAGTATCTCATTACCCAGACAAGAAAATGAGGTTAGCACTACACTGGCTTCTTAGAACTGCCCTACAGAAAGAGATAGCAAAAATAATAGAGATTTAAAAATAAGATGTCTGGCTATTAAGTACCAACATAAATTAGTTACAAATTCTGCCAAGAGAGCTTTTCAAATCTAGGTGACAGGAAAACAGTTGGAGTAAAACCTTTGGGAATGATATGCTTCCTCTTCACTCAAACAATTCCATTGAGCCCATTCAGTTATTGTGCAACTCCAGCATTAATCAAATTATGCCAGAAATTAATTTATCTTTTCATGCATAATATAACATATTAGGCTTCTATTCTGAAAAGGACTTCAAGCAAACCAATAGGAACCATGACTGAAGCATTCATGTCACACTGAATGGAGATTTTTCAGAACAATGGGGGAAAATTACATAGATAATATACCTGATAAATTAATAACTGCTTTAATGCCATCTCATTCTGAGATATATCACAGTACTTCATCCCA